AGTTTCGGGCGGAGTAAAGAGAAGGTTGAAGCATCAGCTATAACGAGAGATGTGTGTCGTTAATCTCTCTAGACCAGCTCTGGGTGACGAGGCCATTTTACAAATCGTTGGGTAACCCCACCTGTAGCAAATTTCAATGCTATTACGCCAAACACCATTGGTTCTAGAGGGAATTACCCTTCAGCGCCAAGTCCTGAATGTCTGTGCCTAATTGTTCCCATATAACGGTTGACAACATGATGGTTGACATTTGGTTTCTTCGTCGTAGACGAGTGCATCCTCTAACTCCAAGTACGTAATATAATGTCAACAGCAATTATCTAACATTACGCCATTATTGTGTTAACGGGAAAATAAGTGTGGTGAGAGGTGTAACGATTGATAGCGAAGGTGTTTACCTACAATACACAGAAACAATATAGGATATGTAATACCATACATATCTGAACAATACACAGGACAACACAATACCGGCGTAAACAATACACAGGACAACATTATACCGGCGTAAACAATACACAGGACAACACAATACCGGCGTAAACATTACACAGGACAACACAATACCGGCGTAAACATTATACAGGACAACACAATACCGGCGTAAACAATATACAGGACAACACAATACCGGCGTAAGCAATATACAGGACAACACAATACCGGCGTAAACAATACACAGGACAACACAATACCGGTGTAAACATTACACAGGACAACACAATACCGGCGTAAACAATATACAGGACAACACAATACCGGCGTAAGCAATATACAGGACAACACAATACCGGCGTAAACAATACACAGGACAACACAATACCGGTGTAAACAATACACAGGACAACACAATACCGGCGTAAACAATATACAGGACAACACAATACCGGCGTAAACATTACACAGGACAACACAATACCGGCGTAAACAATACACAGGACAACATGATAACGGCGTAAACATTATACAGGACAACACAATACCGGCGTAAACAATACACAGGACAACACAATACCGGCGTAAACATTACACAGGACAACACAATACCGGCGTAAACAATACACAGGACAACACAATACCGGCGTAAACAATATACAGGACAACACAATACCGGCGTAAACATTACACAGGACAACACAATACCGGCGTAAACAATACACAGGACAACACAATACCGGCGTAAACAATATACAGGACAACACAATACCGGCGTAAACATTACACAGGACAACACAATACCGGCGTAAACAATATACAGGACAACACAATACCGGCGTAAACATTACACAGGACAACATCATACCGGTGTAAACAATACACAGGACAACACAACACCGGCGTAAACAATACACAGGACAACACAATACCGGCGTAAACATTACACAGGACAACATAATACCGGCGTAAACAATACACAGGACAACATGATAACGGCGTAAACAATATACAGGACAACACAATACCGGCGTAAACATTACACAGGACAACATCATACCGGCGTAAACAATATACAGGACAACAGATAGAAGACACGTCGGAAATCTACACTAGACGTTACACAGACAGGAGACACGTCGGCAATCTACACTAGACGTTACACAGACAGAAGACACGTCGGCTATCTACACTAGACGTTAAACAGACAGAAGACACGTCGGCAATCCTACACTAGACGTTACACAGACAGAAGACACGTCGGCAATCCTACACTAGACGTTATACAGACAGGAGACTAGTTTCTTAACTCCACTAGACGTTATACAGGCAGAAGACATGTCTGAACAGATTTGACTGTATCAATCACGTTAATTTGTACGTCAGGCCTCTGACCTTTCTCTATCTATATATTAGATAGAAAACATTTTTTTTTATAGTTTTCAAATCTTGATAACATTACTTCTACTTTTTATGGTCTCTGTTTCTCGTGTTTTCCAGTAATAGATCGCAACAGTTATGTTGATAAGGTCTGCTTTTATAATCGGCAAACTAGTGAGCTACTGTTGGCCATTAATTTTCTGACATTATGGAACCATCTCAATTACACCCGTCCCCGCTTACAATCATTTCCGCAAACTAGGTCTCTCCTTCAAGTACAGGTGCCCACTGTGGACCCTTACCCCCTCTTCCAACTCAATAAAAAATGGTATCCTGCACACCCGTCAAAACTGGTATCGTTGCCCGTCAATCTAAACAAGCCGGATATTAGTCCCGTCAACAACTCGCGGTGTTAACGCTACAGCGTTAATATCGTTCTCACTATCTTTTGACAAATTTCTTCTGGCAATGAAGGCACCCTATGTGTAATTTTCTCACCCAGCTTGGTCGCCTCCCAAAACTCGGTTCGCCTGACTGCTGCTGTGTGGAGAAAGCCTTTCTACAATTGACTTATCTGCTGAATGGTTTTACGTATTGTGTTGTATTTAAACGACGAACACTCGAGAATGGTCATATCATTGGTTAAGGAGCTATTGTGCAATTATGTAGTACGAAATTCACGTTCAGTCGAAACGAAATTTCATATTAACAAACACACTTAACAGTATATCTGGGATTGAAGACAGCAACAACGATAACAAAAAGACATCAGCGAAGGAAATCCTTTACATCGTACCTACCTTTCCTATCTCGCATCAGAAAGCGTGGACAACGTGTATAAAACAGGGACCACTTGACTGCATGATAAACGAGGTTTATACGCTTACGGATAACTTTCCATTTCTAAATAGTAACAGTACTGCTCCGTCCGTATTCGATGGTTTGTTACCTAGAACACGATTTTGTGATCGATGTTAACATCTGATGGGAGATGCAGGTGGCTAAAGACAGACAACGGGGAGGTTTATCAATATCTTAACGATAATATTTACAAATATTTTAGTTAATCTTCGATATGAAGTTCGGTGATTCAATGCTCGTTAGCATACCTGGTTGTATCGTTACTACAATTCGGTATTTAAAAAAAAAAAAAAAAAACGCGACATATCCTGAATTGACTTTCATCCAGTAAGAGATTGATGTTTTCGTTGATGGTCATTTAAGGTCGACATCTTGATCTGTCTGGATATTTGCAATACTCATTAATTTTGAAATAACATTAACGCCTTCGGGTATATTGATGTAAATCTCCTTTGTAAAGCGATTTCATACACCACATCTAATCTGTATAAATAGTCCGCATTCTATCGACAGGTATCACATGAAACTGTCTACATTCAGTGTGACAGGTGTTACAGGAAGTTGTGTATGTCATTCAGTGTGACAGGTGTCACAGGAAGTTGTGTATGTCATTCAGTGTGATAGGTGTCACAGGAAGTTGTGTATGTCATTCAGTGTGACAGGTGTCACAGGAAGTTGTGTATGTCATTCAGTGTGATAGGTGTCACAGGAAGTTGTGTATGTCATTCAGTGTGACAGGTGTCACAGGAAGTTGTGTATGTCATTCAGTGTGACAGGTGTCACAGGAAGTTGTGTATGTCATTCAGTGTGACAGGTGTCACGGGATGTTGTGTATGTAATTCAGTGTGACAGGAGTTACAGGAAGTTATGTAAGTCATTCAGTGTGACAGGTGTCACAGGAAGTTGTGTATGTCATTCAGTGTGACAGATGTCAATGCAAGCACTGAAGGACAGACTAGAATGATTGCTGTGTATGATATAGGAAGGACCAGACACTAAATTCCTTTACCCTAGGGTGCCCGTCGATAGTATGGTTTTCCCATCTATCGTACAAAAGTTAATATAAATCAAATAGTATAAACATCGGTATTTCACCGTCTAATGGGTGAATGGGAAATGCGCGATGTTGCGATAGAATCAGTTTCCTACCAATAAAACAGGAATGCACGTGCATTAGAGGAGAACCGGTCATTCCGTCCAGCCATTTGTTGATGCGCGGTGTAGCGGGTAATTATATCGGTAAATACTTAATTCTCGGAAATGTAGCATGAAAGTTGAACAGGGAATACATTCAACATTGATGTGAAAAGGTCAATCGTTCACATTCTGTAAAGGTCAAGGGGTCATGTCCTTGACGATCACTTGGTATTTTATATATGAATGAAGTGTTTCCGTCATGCTCCATTTTCATAAAATGCTTCTAGTATGGGTCGAGCTGTAACTAAGCCACCATGTATAATTAACTCGGACAGTTTTAGCCGCTACCAAACACTACAATTACATACAGAGTATCCGGTCACTTAGTGGTCACTTACTGGTCACTCTGGTGTGTTACATTCAAGACTTTGGGTCATATTTATATGGGCATAATTGAATTTGTGTTAACAAGACATAAAGGGGATATTAATATTTAATATGAAGGTGGTATCAGAAGCACGATATTGACAGGCGGATTGTGTCTATAGTGGTTCACATACAACAACCAGCTGAGTAGGTGTTGGAACCACACACAATCATATATCGTCAGTGTGACAGATTCTACGGGTTCGGATAGGTTAAAATGATTGTATTTTGTTGTCCGTCCAGTGAGCTGTGTTTCGTTCTGTTTATCAGTGCGTGTGATTTACACATTACACAGCTAAAGCTGATGTACAAATCATGTCATGTTGTAAGTACTGACCATATGTCCCTTCTAAAGGTATGTTGGTTATTCGATCTAGTCCATCGTCACCTTACACGTGTATCTCACACAACTTCAAAGCTGATCGCGTTACTCAAACAATATATTGGCGATAACGGTCAGGTTAACATATTTGGTCACGCGCAAGTCGCGCGGCCGCGCCGTGAAAGGCCGTTGGTCAGGCACCGTTTTATGTCCTTTTGTGTTTTATGTTGATTAATAAATCTATAATGGCTCCGGATGATTCATTACGATCTGATTAATATCTTGTTTGAAATTAGATGTAAGTGATCGCTGGACCGAGACAACCTTAGATCACGTGGTCAGTCCCAGCACGCGATGACGATGATACGAGGAGAGACAGCGTACAGAACGAATCTTGTCAAGGAATTCACTCGGTATACACGTATGTTACTATTTACAGGTAATTAACAATCAGGAACTGGACACCTGTGACGATGAAGCTGGACAGTGTTACGTTAGAGACCGTGTTCGTCACGTGCTGTGCTATTCTGTCAGGTAAGGGCATGTGACCTTCAATGCTCGTGGCCTTGAATAGAACCACACTGTAGATAATAAACAAATCATGAGATTTATAAATGGTAATGCAATATTTGTGTTTAATAGTTTGTAATGCTGTTAATATCTTTTTTAAGCCTTAAGTCGTCATGATTGACGTGTGTTTACAAAACATTTTTCTGACGCAGATTTCCGCGAATTCCTTATCTCCTGTGTTGTTTTCATTTCTCACGTTACGTCAAGTTACACAATGTATCGGCGTACACTTAAACATCAAATGGTACAGTGTAGTAATAATCTGGTTCATCACACAGAAGACTTTCATTGAAAGGCAGATCAGTGGTCTTCTAGGTCTAACACACTAGGTAGAGCACGGGGTTATGTCGGCTTTCCGAATCATCTTGTTTTCCCACGTGCTTTTTTGGTAATTCAGTAGATACAAGGTACATGTCTGGTGTTTAGTGAGATTCCTAAACATACAAATATTTCTGTTAAAGAGCGCAGAGAAGGAGAGGGAGGTGAAGGGGGCACGTCCTCAAATATTCAACTGTCTATTGTAGAGCGCGGAGAGGGAGAGAGGTGAAGGGGGACACGACCTCAAATATTCACCTGTCTTTTGTAGAGCACGGAGAGGGAGAATGAGGGGAAGGAGACACGTCCCCAAATTCACCTGTCTGTTGTAGAGCACGGAGAGGCAGAATGAGGGGAAGAGGGACATCTCCCCAAACATTTACCTGTCTGTTGTAGAGCACGGAGAGGGAGAATGAGAGGAAGGGGGACACCTCCCCAAATATTAACCTGTCTGTTGTAGAGACGGAGAGGGAGAATGAGGGGAAGGAGACACGTTCTCAAATATTCACCTGTCTGTTGTAAAGCACGGATGGGGAGAATGAGGGGAAGGGGGACACAACCTCATATACTACCGGTAGTGTCAACATGACTACCCGGAGTAACCTGTCTCTCTAATATGTAGCCAATTTTGCCCTCATTGGTATCCTCGCCCTCCATTACCTCTCACCGAACTTTCCAACCACGAACAACCATGTGCCTATTTCCCCACCTACACCCCTGATATTGCGATAAAACTACGGCCATTGTTTCTGGGTTTGAGATGCCACACCTTCCCGCCATCTGCCTTCTATCTTACCTTACCGATGATAACTGATGATGTTTTCTTGTTGCAGGTTACAAAAGTCAAAGCATTGGTGTAAGTATTTACAAACACTAGAAAAACAACAGTAAACTAAGTGACCTCCTTTGTAACGTCTGAAATCGTGGTGTTATATATTTCCGGTCCAAGTCATTCTCTCTAGTACATAGTAAGGATGTCGGTGACGATCAATTTTGATGAAATAATGCGACGAAGGCAACGGAAGATTCATTGACGGTCATTAGAATATGTAATGTTGATATGTATATCCCAGTTTGATGACGTTTGCCCATTAACGACCGTAAACCAGTCTCAATACTACCCGGACTCACCCGTCTCTCTAATATATAGCCAATGTTGCTTAAAATGGTATCAAAATGTTCGTGCCGTCGATCGTGATACATTATAAATAGTTGGCAATACATCTATAGAATAAAGTGTTCATTGTCTTAAACAACATTTCCTTTCCAAATTTTCATTCCTTTATTTCGCTTGATTCAAATCATTTGCTAATTTAGAGATTTTGATCGAAAGAACGCCCCAGAATCTAATGCATCCACAGAGGAACTTGGTGGAGTGCTCTACTGTGTAATTTGTGGTGTACAGTCATTGAAGCACAAATTGTGATGGTTCTTCCGGTGTTCCTAAAGCTTAATTGATAGATTTTATACAAATTAAGTTGGATTTTTTTTCCAATTTCCAACCTCAAGCGGAGTTCGAAATTCTTGAACTTCTGGATGTTCACAATTTTGAAAAATAATAGTCCTTTTCGCGCCTGCCTTCTTTTTGATCTTTGTCTTTAAAATATAATCACTAGACTGTATCGTTTTAGCTTCCTAAATCATACATTTCACCCGAACATGACGGGTTTGTCAGATAAACTTGTTCTGAAGGAGACAGCCTCACCTCCGCCGTATACTATCTGGAAAGTGTCCAAAAATATGATTTCATTTTATTTTCAGAAAAACGTTAAGATAATATGCTGATATTTGTGATGAATCAGAAGTGTTACAGTTGGTTAGCGATGATGTAGACAAACTCTGTAGGATTAAGACACAAACGACTTTTATCAGTTTTACAGTGTACGGGAGAACGTTCCCTGAGAGATTAACATCAAATATTATTTCCAATCTCATGGAAATGAAAACAAAAATAAAACAAGCCACTGCATTCATCTGATTGTCGTTTGTTTATGTTGTTTACAACATTTTGTTGTCGGCAGTGTTTTGTGATGTTGCTTATGAATACGGCTACTGTTTGCGCTGACCTCAGACAAGGACATTTCAGGTATTCTCGTGCCATACTGCATTTTTTGGCAAAATTGTTGACTCTCAGTTTTCGAAAACTTCAGGTAGGAGTGGAAAAATGGTAATTTATTTGTCAATAGCTGTTCATGAGATGTATCAGACGTTAACTATAGATGATTCACAATTAACTTAATATGGAATAAAAGTTTGAACTTCACGAAAGGACGGCACCTGATAGTATATTCCAGTAAAACAGGAATGCTACCCAAAATTTTGTCAATTTTTAAACATTCCCTCAACCCGCTAACCTTCCTTTCTGCATATAGGTCGATGTATTTGTTTGATTCTACAAATCAAAGTTCCTTTAATCCTGCTAAATATCAAGTTTGTGGCTTCGATATTATCAAAAATACCGAAGAATTTTGACAGAAAGTACATTGTCGATGATCCTTTGAGACATCTTTTGTTTTGACTATAAATCCTAGACAGAGAAAACCTAATCATGCTAATATATAGATGAAATGTAAGTCTGTTAATAAGTACTATTTTTATTGTGTTACAGCGACGGTCATCGCAATGTTCTAACCAAGGCGAGCTGGTTAAAGGCCTGTGTGCCTGCTTCCCTGGGTACAGTGGGTACGATTGTAGTCAACTCGACCCATCCTTGGAGTTGTCTTGTATCAATCCTTATGCGTAAGTACCAGACGGTAGATATGTATGTAACTCACATAGGTATATATTTACTGTAGTGGAAAACTGTTGTACCGGTGGCAAAAATAATTCATACGCTGTGCAACTTAAAACTACCGGCCTGACCCAGTTGCTCAAGGCTTGGTTAGAGACAATTTTGCTTTAAAATTAATTTTTCCCTCTACCACTAGTTAACTCTGACCAAGCTTTCAGCAGCTGGAGTCTGTATGATATCCAATATCAAACAAAGACACATTGATACTGACACCGTACTATGTTAACTATTAGTGTGTATATGGTCGCGAGATGGGTTGTCCGTCTGTCTTGTGTCCGTGCCAAACTTCTATGAGTCAACTTGCCTTCGTTAAGTTGTTTTCGTAACAATGGAAACAAAATCAGAAGGGATGGAAATAAAAAAAAAACGAAATATAAAAGAAAGAAGAGAAAAAACTAGTAACACATTGTAGATTTGACAAACCCATTGTAGACCACCCTGTTAAATGCGTGCCGTAACAACAGATAACAGTCTACCATATTGTTGGCATATGGTTTACAAGGTGGTCCGCGGCCATTTTACTTGAGAACCTAAGTTGTGTAGAGAAAGCATGTCGTTACATTGCGCGGAAAAGGCGATGTCGTGACATTGTGCGCAGACGGCGATGTGGTTACAATGTGCGGAGAAGACGACGTGGCTACATTGTGCGGAGAAGGCGATGTTGTTACAATTTGCGAAGACGATATCGTTACATTGTGCAGAGAAAACAATGTCATTAGAATAAATGTGCATTCGAAGTCGTTACGATATAGAACTGGCGATGTCGGTACTTTTTAAAGACGGGGGATATCATGACAATGAACATATAAGTGAAAATGACATTTCAATGCACGTGCAGGCGATGTCATTACAATGTAAGAGCTGTGGTGGACGTCGTTAAAATGTATATAGTTGAAAATGTCATTACAATTCAAAAGCAGGCCATGACATTACATTAACGAGGGAGGTGATCTCCGTGTAAAGGATAGGCGATTTCAATACAATCAATATATTTGATTATCGATCATGTTGTCATTCTAGCCGAGTTTCCTTTATCTCATTAGTGCATCGTTACAGCTGACAAATCGCGCGCACTTGACATCATCCAAGGCACGTGTTCCTAATGTCTGTGGAACGTTGTGATTGAATTATAGGCCAAGGAAGGTTGTTTTTGTAGTGAAATGTTTACAGAAAATGATACTAAGCAGGACGTGACATTTCGTTATCGTTTTCTTTTTTCTTCTTAAAATATATTCACTTCCTGTCAGAAAGTGCAGCTATTGCAGAAACATGAAATAGTTTATACAGAAAAACAATCGTTCTCATCTCGACCCAACTATTCTGAATCACACGTGCCCAGCTGCCGGTCTAAATCATATCTGATGTTTAAAACCAGGTTCACATGTTAAAAAAACATCTTAAAGTTCTCGAAATCCAATTACAGCGCATGTGGTCAGGCTAGGTGGATATGTGTTAACGGAATCAGCTGACAGGCCGTGTGACTGCCATTACTGAGAATATCAGAAGTTTAAACTGCGGTTGTCATCTAGCAGATAATGGCTTCCGCTAAAATACATATTATGGAAAATTGACTACCTCAACATGAGGTGGACCAGATTCGAATGCCCCACGCTGAGTATGGCCACTTATTGTAGTGTTTTGATAAAATAATGTTATCAACATCAGATTAAGATGGCTGTTTTGTCTGATTGTTTTTCTTTTGTTGGCGGTCTTACAAACCAAGACCATTATTCCAAGAGATCAAGCTTACTCTTGTTTTTGTTACAGGACGGTAGAAAAGGTGTGTTCCGGGCGTGGTCAGTGCGTGGGTGGTCAGTGTCAGTGTAACAGGCGACGGTCGGTAAGTCGCTATCATACCTTTTCTTTCCCTCTCCCTATACCCATTCCCCATATTTCCATTCCCTATTCTCTCTTATTCTCCACCCCCTATTCCACCATTTCCCCCACCCCCTTATTCTCAAACCATATTCCCATACCACATTCTAACACCACATTCCCACACCGCATTTCCACACTACATTTCCACACTACCTTCCCATACCATATTCTCATACCATACCCCCAAACCACATTTCCTCACCACATTTCCACACTACCTTCCCATACCACATTCCCACATACCATATTCCAATACTATTATCCCACACCACATTCCCACACCACATTTCCACACTACCTTCCCATACCATATTTCCACACCATATTTCCACACCACATTTCCACACTACCTTCCCATACCATATTCCCACACCACATTCCCACACCACATTTCCACACTACCTTCCCATACCATATTCCCATACCATATTCCCACACCACATTCCCACACCACATTTCCACACTACCTTCCCATAGCATATTTTCACACCACATTTCCACACTACCTTCCCATACCATATTCCCACACCACATTCCCACACCACATTTCCACACTACCTTCCCATACCATATTCCCATACCATATTCCCACACCACATTTCCACACTACCTTCCCATACCATATTTCCACACCACATTTCCACACTACCTTCCCATACCATATTCCCACGCCACATTTCCACACCACATTTCCACACTACCTTCCCATACCATATTTCCACACCACATTTCCACACTACCTTCCCATACCATATTTCCACACCACATTTCCACACCACATTTCCACACTACCTTCCCATACCACATTCCCACACCACATTTCCACACCACATTTCCACACCACATTTCCACACTACCTTCCCATACCATATTTCCACACCACATTTCCACACTACCTTCCCATACCATATTTCCACACCACATTTTCACTCTACCTTTCCTTTCCATATTCCCATACCATATTCCCACACCACATTTCCACACCACATTTCCACACATACACTTTCCCATACCATATTTCCACACCACATTTCCACTCATATTTCCACACCACATTTCCACACCACATTTCCACACTACCTTCCCATACCATATTCCCATACCATATTCCCACACCACATTCCCACACCACATTTCCACACTACCTTCCCATACCATATTTCCACACCACATTTCCACACTACCTTCCCATACCATATTTCCACACCACATTTCCACACTACCTTCCCATACTTTCCATATTCCCATACCATATTCCCACACCACATTTCCACACTACCTTCCCACTTCCCACCATACCATATTTCCACACACCTTCCCATACCATTTCCACACCACATTTCCACACTACCTTCCCATACCTTCCCATACCATATTTCCACACCACATTTCCACACCACATTTCCACACTACCTTCCCATATCACATTCCCACACCACATTTCCACACCACATTTCCACACTACCTTCCCATACCATATTTCCACACCACATTTCCACACATTTCCACACTACCTTTCCACACTACCTTCCCATACCACATTCCATACCACATTTTTCCACACTACACCACATTTCCACACTACCTTCCCATACCATATTTCCACACCACATTTCCACACTACCTTCCCATACCATATTTCCACACCACATTTCCACACTACCTTCCCATACCACATTCCCACAACACATTCCCACACTACATTTCCACACTACATTTCCACACTACCTTCCTATGCCATATTTCGACACCACATTTCCACACCACATTTCCACACCACATTTCCACACCACATTTCCACACTACCTTCCCATACCATATTTCCACACCACATTTCCACACTACGTTCCCACACCACATTCCCACACCACATTTCCACACTACCTTCCCATACCATATTCCCATATCACATTCCCACACCACATTTCCACATCACATTTCCACACTACCTTCCCATTCCATATTCCCATACCACATTCCCACACCACATTTCCACACCACATTTCCACACTACCTTCCCATACCATATTCCCATACCACATTCCCACACCACATTTCCACACTACCTTCCCATACCATATTTCCACACCCATTTCCACAACACATTTCCACACTACCTTCCCATACCACATTTCCACACCACATTTCCACACTACCTTCCCATACCACATTCCCACAACACATTCCCACACCACATTTCCACACTACCTTCCCATACCATACTCCCATACCACATTCCCACACCACATTTCCACACTACCTTCCCATACCATATTCCCATACCACATTCCCACACCACATTTCCACACCACATTTCTACACTATCTTCCCATACCATATTCCCATACCACATTCCCACACCACATTTACACACTACCTTTCCATACCACATTCCCACACCACATTTCCACAATACCTTCCCATACCACATTCCCACACCACATTTCCACACCACATTTCCACACTACCTTCCCATACCATATTTCCACACCACATTTCCACACTACCTTCCCATACCACATTCCCACACCACATTTCAACACTACCTTCCCATACCATATTCCCATACCACATTCCCACACCACATTTCCACACTACCTTCCCATACCACATTTCCACACCACATTTTCACACTACCTTCCCATACCATATTTCCACACCATATATGGTGATGCTACATGGAGGCTGTCATATCAATGTAACATGTAAGTAAGATTGTTCTTACCTTATCTTGATCTCAATCTCTGTATCTGAACCGATTTATTGTCATGTAAGTTACCGCAAAATATGAAATAATTCAAAATTTACGAAGAAGATGTCAGCTTTGAAATCCGACATATCAATCATTCGGAAGTCGATTATTGCTGTAGTACTGAAAAAAAATTGTCACGTGCAACGCCAGTCTTGCAATCGAAAGTATGTATTGGAACAGCCAATAATTGAGATGAAATACAGATATATTAACAAAATCTAAATTCAAACTCAAAATTGATGAACAATGGGTAAATTATGGACAAACGGAAGGACCAGGAGAATGTTCCGGAAGTAAGCATTTCCACAACTGCTTGCCGACTGCTCCTCAAACTTAGAAAAGGAGGTTTAGTTTGACGAACCAATTGGTGCATTCTCCTTTATGATACACATTCATTATGTCGATCCTCCCCCGGTCAGTTCGAATTCATGTCCGAGTGTCTGACATAATAATGTAAGCTATCTATCATTATAATATAAAATTCTATTAAAGTCGATTAACACACGAGCCGCGAGGGGTTCCGCGTGTTATCACGGGATCACAGCAATTGACTTGAATTTTATCGTTTTTATGTACTATAATTTGTGAGGTTTACCGAAAACCTAACAGCAAGACATGGAGTGATTAAAAACACTTAAAAGAACGGGGAAATATTTACTTGTAGACCATGTGCGATGAGGTAGTAAGTTTGATTATTTCTGTAAACTACTTCTTGTCTACAGTTGTATGTACAAAATTTTTCCACAGTAACGCAAGTTGATTCTATATTCAAAGCATGCTCCCTTTATCTCGATTCACTGCTAAAGGAGATGTTGGTTAGTGAGGACTGCTCTCGGGATGTGCCGTATATCCTCAGCAGATATAAAGTTATATGTATCTGACGTCTGTTAGTATTCAAACTTACTCCGTGATCACTATCCCGAGTCACATTTTGAGAGCGTCACACTTCATCGATTTTGCGAAGATTTCCAAGAATCAGCTTAAACGCTTACTATACTGGAAAAAGGTTTAAAAAATGAAGTATTTACTTTGTAATTGGACAATGACCAATCTATTTGTCTGTACCGTATATAAAACTTGTTTGGACAATGACCAATCTATTTGTCTGTACCGTATATAAAACTTCTGTGGACTGGACATATAAAACTTGTTTGGATAATGACCAATATATTTGTCTGTACCGTATATAAAACTTGTTTGGACAATGACCAATCTATTTGTCTGTACCGTATATAAAACTTGTTTGGACAATGACCAATCTATTTGTCTGTACCGTATATAAAACTTGTTTGGACAATGACCAATCTATTTGTCTGTACCGTATATAAAACTTGTTTGGACAATGACCAATCTATTTGTCTGTACCGTATATAAAACTTGTTTGGATAATGACCAATATATTTGTCTGTACCGTATATAAAACTTGTTTGGACAATGACCAATCTTGTCTGCATATAAAACTTGTTAGGACAATGACCGTATATAAAACTTCTGTGGACAATACCAATCTATTTGTCTGTACCGTATATAAAACTTGTTTGGACAATGACCAATCTATTTGTCTGTACCGTATATAAAACTTGTTTGGACAATGACCAATCTATTTGTCTGTACCGTATATAAAACTTGTTTGGACAATGACCAATATATTTGTCTGTACCGTATATAAAACTTCTGTGGACAATGACCAATCTTTTTGTCTGCACCGTATATAAAACTTCTGTGGACAATAGTCTGTACCGTTTATAAAACTTGTTTGGACAATGACCAATCTATTTGTCTGTACCGTATATAAAACTTGTTTGAACAATGACCAATCTATTTGTCTGTACCGTATATAAAACTTGTTTGGACAATGACCAATATATTTGTCTGTACCGTATATAAAACTTCTGTGGACAATGACCAATCTTTTTGTCTGTACCGTATATAAAACTTCTGTGGACAATAGTCTGTACCGTATATAAAACTTGTTGGGACAATGACCAATCTATTTGTCTGTACCGTATATAAAACTTCTGTGGACAATGACCAATCCATTTGTCTGTACCGTATATAAAACTTGTTTGGACAATGACCAATCTATTTGTCTGTACCGTATATAAAACTTGTTTGGACAATGACCAATCTATTTGTCTGTACCGTATATAAAACTTCTGTGGACAATGACCAATCTATTTGTCTGTACCGTATATAAAACTTGTTTGGACAATGACCAATCTATTTGTCTGTACCGTATACTAAACGTCCCTCGACAATGACCAATCTATTTGTCTGTACCGTATATAAAACTTGTTTGGACAATGACCAATCTATTTGTCTGTACCGTATATAAAACTTATCTGGACAATAACCAATCTATTTGTCTGTACCGTATATAAAACTTATCTGGACAATGTCTGTACCGTATATAAAACTTGTTTGGACAATGACCAATCTATTTGTCTGTACCGTATACTAAACGTCCCTCGACAATGACCAATCTATTTGTCTGTACCGTATATAAAACTTGTTTGGACAATGACCAATATATTTGTCTGTACCGTATATAAAACTTATCTGGACAATAACCAATCTATTTGTCTGTACCGTATATAAAACTTATCTGGACAATAACCAATCTATTTGTCTGTACCGTATATAAAACTTATCTGGACAATAACCAATCTATTTGTCTGTACCGTATATAAAACTTATCTGGACAATGTCTGTACCGTATATAAAACTTGTTTGGACAATGACCAACCTATTTGTCTGTACCGTATATAAAACTTATCTGGACAATAACCAATCTATTTGTCTGTACCGTATATAAAACTTATCTGGACAATAACCAATCTATTTGTCTGTACCGTATATAAAACTTATCTGGACAATAACCAATCTATTTGTCTGTACCGTATATAAAACTTATCTGGACAATGTCTGTACCGTATATAAAACTTATCTGGACAATGTCTGTACCGTATATAAAACTTCTCTGATCTACAGGATTACCTTTATCCAACGTTTCATGCGATACATTGTCATTGCTGATAACACAAGACGTCAAATATGAGGTTTTTCTCGTAAGAAATTAAAGTGAGTTTTTTATCCTTGCGATCGAATGGACTAGTACTGTTTATGATGTTTAAACACGCAATGCAAGTCCTTTCCTGTTAAAACTATACAAATAACAATTTCCTGATATTGGCTCATCAACTTCACTCCGGAAAGCTGAAACACGGCCGCTTTCAATTAAATTGGTAAACTATTACTATCTCGGGGCATAGCTACAAGTCTGTCTGGTGTAGTCACGTGACATCAAAGACTCCAAATGTCTGCAGCTGTTCCATCGGCCTTGTAGCACCTGAAAGACACATTTCCTGTTTTATCAGTGAATAATTCCGTTTTACTACTAACTTTGGTAAAGTTATAGTGGTTCACTTTTGTGATTGTTTCACAATCTTCCTGCAAGGGCGTGCGTTTTCTGATGGAAGATATATTCGGACATATATCACTACTCTGTTACCCGGGTAAAGACACGAATAACATATTACAATTGTACTGTTATGACAACATGCATGATAACACTAAACAAAACCTGCTTGCCTGAAGGTGTCACGTGCGACACAATAACTTCATGGCTTCATTGCGTCATAGCGTCATATGCATTGTGACATGGCCAAAGAAAGGAATATATAGTGAGAATATACAGAATTTATGAAAGACTGATAAACTGCTGTACAGTATCTAAATGATATGATAAACAGAACCTTACATTCGTTTCCATTTGCTATATGTCAAGTTACCTCGCTAGATGCTCGACGAATTGAAACACTCTTAGATCATTGTTTCATAAATATTGTAGGAAATCGAAATACAACAGCTCACATCTCACAGAAGTCGACTCGGCCGTAATAATTGTAAGACTAATAAAGATTGTTCTATGGCAAGAAGTATGATTATAAAAAAGCAAAATTAGAAACAAATTTAAAAACAGATAGAAATAAAACTTTACTTATAAACACTTATGGAATAATGCACGAGACAAGGTTGTATTAGATAGAAATCACGTGTCATGTTACAAAACGTGCGTGCAGAATGGCCTTCATTCACTTACATACCCGCGGCTATCATAAAAAACAATATGTTTCTAGTCGCAAGTCACTGATTGGTTTTGACATGTACTTAAGTATTGATGGCGCTGTTTATGGTGATGCACGTGGTTTGTGTAAGCAGCGGGAAAGATACAACGTGGTGTGTTATTACTATGTGAATGACACAATTCAACACGACACATAACATGCACATCAAATGGACTCATTCTATCTACCGCCACTGATCACGTCTAAATTATTAATGGTAATGGACCTTTTTGGAGGCCTCGTTCTCTCCTGCTGTGTTACTTTTTATTTCCCTATCGTCCGCATGTCTGATTGTCTGTTGGACACGGAGAAACAATTCTGTAGGTTATGATGTCGCCACAGGCCGTATCAGATGACTACATACAGATATTTAGGTTATGTTGTCCTGATATTAGAAATGGTAATGGGAAAAAATACAGACAGGTTTTCTTGGGCCAATGACATTCCCTCCCAGGTCGCAATTTCTTGGCATTCCATGTCGTTCCTGCTCAATCCGGCACATTCCGTCACATTCCGTTAGATTCCGTCACAGCAGGATCCATACCTGGTTTTGTGTCCAGAGATGAAAGTTTGTCACTTAGACATGTTTATATATAAAATTTATGTAAAATGTCAAATACGTGACTTTTTTGTTTCAAAATTATGATCCGTGCTAGCAATATCGGCAGGAAAAGTCATCTTGTGGTGCGATTCCCGATGTTTTTACGATGTTATGACTTTGAGTAATGCTACACTGTACTCAAGCTGTCTTCATCTCGTTTTTTATGTTGTCTTTCGCTCTGTATACGTACATTTTAGGTCTAGTACCCGCTTTGATAAAATAACACATTTAAGCAAAATATGTGAGATTCCCATTACAGTGATATATGTGTATATAAGAAACAGTTCGTCCGCGCCTTTAGAAATCAATTGGAGCACATGTCATGATGAACTCATTTAGAAGTGTGAATATGAATCTTTCTTTTGTTCATATTTTATCAAGTTTCATTGAACTTGGGTATAGAGTAAGATTCTGTTGTCATGTCTGCGTTTTCATTGTTTTTTAAAATACTGACTGATAATTGATATGTCGTTGAGAATGGCCAATGCTTCATTGTTGATATCACACATATGTTTTATATTGTTACAACATACAAATGTACTGTATTTTTAGAGACAGGATATCAGTATTGCAACAATTAATATCAAATGTTTTATTTAAAAGTATTTGAAAATTTATAGAAGAAATTATAGTATGATTGAACACTAATCATACAGGTCTACCAAACCAGCTGAAAAATGTCTAAAGAATCATTATAACACACTTCAATGTTAGAACAAAATGTTGCGTCATCAGGATGACAGCTGAAACAACATGCTATACTTAACAACACAACCGAAACGGTAACAAAAGATTAGTTAGTAAAGAAACCAAAGCTAGATATTGTTTCCGTTTCTTATATTTTTGAAAGAACAAAGGTTGTTGTGAGCATTATATATTTCATGGTCTCCCGTTTAATATATGCATTTAGCTTGTATGATAAGATACCACAACCAGAGCAGATATCATATCATGATGTTGTATTTTTGATATTTTTTTCTGTTGCGGTATTTTGATCACGTGATGTATAGCGAATGTAAAAAATCAGCACGGGCAATGTACTGCATTTGAAATCGATTTTTAAAACCTGATACAGATAATATTCCTTCTTTTCTCGTTAGTTGATGTGGCACGCCTCCAATAATTATACAGCTAGGGCTGCTTTTACTGAAAGCTATTAAAATGTGTTTGATTTTCCAAATTGATCTACCTTTTGATTAAAACGTATTACGTATTGTCAAAGGTTTCCATGTGGTACTATATATAAGATAGCATACTATGGTATTCTGGCACGTTTCAAACTTCTCAGTAAATTGTACTCTCTCCAACTTTCAATATAAGATTTTTTTCTCTGACAGATACAAATGAATTTTTACACGATCTTGAATCGTGAGCATTACGGCTCTATTTGTTCGCTAAATCCAGGAGAAACCTGAAAGTAATTGCCAAAAAACTCCAAGCATCTTGTTTGTTTGTTTGAATTATATTCATGCATACGAGAAAACAACAATTACTCGCTGAAATCAGTTTAAGTTCATTCATAACTTAAAATGCAGTTCTATACATTTTTAAAATCCATGTTATGAATAGCCAATGGTTTGACCACGGGACAAACCCATGGGAGTTGTTTTTGTCTATAACCAATATCACAGTGGTTATACACAAGTTTCTGTTCACTAAATGATAACACACTGAAAATGTGAACCAAATTGTATTTTATTGTACCAGAGGCGACCGGACAAGTACAGTGGTGAATATTGTGAGTGTGACGACTACAGCTGTCCGTTCTACATGGGAAAGATGTGTGGGGGTAAGTAATGTATGTGTAGGTAATGCACGTGTATATACACGGGTAAGGTATGTAGCGACAGGTAATGCACATGTATATACATGGGTAACGTATGTAACGACAGGTAATGCACGTGTATATACACGGGTAAGTTATGTAGCGACAGGTAATGAACGTGTATATGCACGGGTAAGGTATGTAGCGACAGGTAATGCAAGTGTATATGCACGAGTAACGTATGTAGGGACAGGTAATGCACGTATATATACACGGGTAAGGTGTGTATGTGTAACGACAGGTAATGCACGTGTTTATACACGGGTAAGGTGTGTAACGACAGGCAATGCCCAAGTTTATACACGGGTAAGGTATGTAGCGACAGGTAATGCACATGTAGCGACAGGTAATGCACGTGTATATACACGGGTAAGGTATGTAGCGACAGGTAATGTACGTGTTTATACACGGGTAGGGTGTGTAACGACAGGCAATGGCCGTGTTTATACACGGGTAAGTTGTGTAACGACAGGTAATGCACGTGTTTATACACGGGTAAGGTATGTAGCGACAGGTAATACCCGTGTTCATACACGGGTAAGGTATGTAGTGACAGGTAATGCACGTGTATATACACGGGAAAGGTATGTAGCGATAGGTAACGCACGTGTATATATACGGGTAAGACGCATCGGGGTGAGTAATAAACGTTTATAAACAAGTGTTAGATGTTTGAGGTTAGGTAATATACGTGCAAATACACGTACCGGTTGTTAGAGGTTAAACAATGGGGTTAGGTAATACACGTGTAAATACACGTACCGGTTGTGAGAGGTTAAACAATGGGTTTAGGTAATGCACGTGTAAATACACTACAGGATGGGAGAGGTTAAACAATGGGGTTAGGTAATACACGTGTAAATACACTACAGGATGGGAGAGGTTAAACAATGGGGTTAGGTAATGCAGATGGTCAGATGTGATGTGGAAGGTACATGTGAAGAACGTGTGTGTTAATACTAGTAAGATGTATGAAGGTAGGTACATCTGATGCACGTGTGTAATTACCTGTCAGATTTGTGTGGAAAGGGACAACATGTGTCTGAACACTGGTCACATGTGCTGTTGGAGGTAATGCACGAATGTAATCACGCCTCAGATTTGTAGGAGTGTGCAATGCACGTGTCCAGCTTACACGATTTAGATGTTTAAATGTACATGAGTTTGACAGATGTGTGGGGTAGGAACGTAGACATACAAGGATCTAAATGTGTTTGAGATGATCACGCAAGGGGTTATTATATTACTAACATTAGAAATGTAGACTAGATTACACAAACCACATGTTAACGCCGAATTGAATTATAGAGGGTGTAACGTATGTATACTAGTTATTGTGGGGTTATGGTGTTTATACATTGTATGATGTAGAAGATACAGTCCTGTGAGAGTACATGTTTCCGTTATATTTCCACTGGCTTTTGTTCTCTTTGATGTCGATTAGTGTCTACGTCTTAGATGTAATGCATGTTTTGTTTCCGACAGCAAACAATTCTCCTAAAACAGTTACGGTTTTTGTGTATTTGTTTTGTTTTTGTTTTTGTTTTTCCGAGTGGTTCTTTTTCTCTAGTCAAAAACGCGCTATAAGTTGTAATAGATGCAATCTTATCTATTAATGTATGTCAACTGGGGAACGATTTCCACTGTCAGTTTAATCTCTTAGCTCCCGCAGTACGAACTCGAATAGTGTGATTAAAAATATGTTGGATGATTTCTTAACCACTTTTCAAATGGGTTGTACGACACATAAAGATATTGTTAAGTTCCGAGTGTAATGAGGATTGTGAATGTTTGTAGGTAATGTGCGGGGAAGATGTCAGTGCGGGGTGTGTCAATGTGGGCCCGACTACACGGGCGAAGCCTGTGGTTGTAGCCGTATGACGGACGGATGTGTTGCCTCCGACGGGGTAAGTCATAAGAAGAGGCCCAATGGAGCTGTATCGCTCATATACCATTAATCAATCATGTTTGAAGTTCAAGGTTGGAACGCCAAAAATTGATATCTGGCAGAAACGATGATGTTATTGTGTAGCTTGTGAAGAGCAGACTTCACTGATACTTCTCATACATATACACAATGTAGTCTATAAGTAATGTGACTCAATCTTAGTTCTTCATTACAATATATTACAATCGCAAATTTGATATTGGGAACAGGTCTATATCATATCTAAGATAAGACAAAACCGAAAGTCATGACGACCGATAGGTATTGGAATTCTGATTCACCTGTTGACACGTGCTGGCCTGGGTGAAAGCTGGCGGCCATGATGCAAGGGTCACCAGGTCTTATTGTTCTATTACACTGGTCACTGTGCATATCAAATTTACCCAAAGATCCTTTGATGTTTAAACGCCATAACACTCAACATATCATTATTCAATACTTCTATTTATAGTATCATGATTTTGATAGTTTCCAAGAAAGAGTACTTGTGCGAACCTACTACGGAAGTAACCTAATGGTGGAACCTCATCATCCATCGTTTTGATGTGATGACTTAAAAGTATTGTATTGTTTATATATAGTAACAACTTAACAACAAATACACATTTATTTACAATAAAAACGGCGAGGATTCTCAAACTAGTTTAAACAATACAATATAGTCCAGTGCTATGCGGAGTAACAGTAGGGGAAATGTAAAAATAAAGTTTGTTGATATCAATGTATACGATTTATGTTTAAACTGTTTTAAAAGTTAGTATAGAGTGTCTACTGACATTGTATAAAGTACTCTTACGTTGCCGTAATTACACATTCCGAGTACCTACTGATCTTTATGTATTCTAACCAATCACAGGTGTTGATAGGTAGGAAGAATTAGAAGTACACGTCTGCCCATGCGCAGCACGCCCTTTGTTCTCGTGTTGTGAGGTTTTGATGTCTGTACTGATAACCTTACTATAAACCATTTCATAAGTAATTAGAAATCGCATGTACGCACGTGCTGACTACATATACACCCTACATTATCGTTGTTTTGTTATTTTTATGATACACAAACATATGGGGTTAATATCTGAGTTTTTTTTATGTAAATGTACATTTTACGACGTTGAATAAAAATGTCAAAAGTGTTACTAGACAAGACTGAAAAGTTCCTCCATCCTGTATAATGGTTATGTAATAATACAGATCTTTCAATTGGAAATAGTCTTAATTGGAACTTGATATAAATTACAATGTGTTAACAATTTCGTCTTTATCAAATAACGACATAATGTAGTACGTTTACCTTTGCCCTATAGAGCCTCTGTAACAACCAAGGATCTTGTGTTTGTGGTTACTGTCAATGTAACAAGGACAGCATTTACAGGGGCGTGACCTGTGAAGAGAACCCGGCTGTAAGTACAATGGCAGACGAATTACATTTAGTAAATCTATTGGGATGTTCTGAGTTCAAATCTGAATTGCTATATACATATTAAACTATTGTTACATGTATGTTAGGACTGAACTTGAAATGCCCTCACTTTCGACAGAATGCGTGTCAGGACCTGAAGCAATGTATCCAGTGCCGAGTTTTCAGGAGTGGTCCCTTGTCATCGGCCGAATGTGCTAACCACCCAGTCTGCTCCAACCTTCGGATACATTCTGTGGAAAAGTTTATAGGTCAGTGTCTAGACAGCACGTAACACTCCTATAACTATTGCGCAAGATTCTGTTGGTTACAGGTTGAATGTCCATTTCCAGCTATGCTGTTACTGTCCAGAAGACCCGATAGGGATGTCCGGTTTCCGATACGTTGTCAGAAGCGAGTCAGCTCTCTGTAATGTACTCTCGTAGCGCGAGAGTCCTGCTATCAAAACAACAGTTGCCCTGTCGCCATCAGAAAATGATGATCCTATCTGAAATGTGTTACAGTGACATCAAACACATCCTACTTTCTTTGTTGCTACAATGAATTGTTTCACGTAAAATCCTTTGGAATATTCAGAATCTAGAGCAGAGTTTCGGATCATATCAAAACCATAAATTTAGAATCAAATGTCCGTCTTACCTATCGCCGTTTGTTAAGATTTGGTTCTGAAATAAAATCCAATATGTCCTAATTGTATGATAAAGAATATCTTTGTTTCCAGAATCCCGATCAGAATATATATGTGACTTCAAAGACGAAGATGGCTGTGTTGCTAAGTTTGGCTACTCCTACGAAAAAACTGGCGCAAAGTTCGTGCAGGCATGGACAGTAAAACGTAAGTAGGAACACCACTATACTTGGATGTTTGTGTAGTATACAATACATAGGTACAGATTTATTGTGGACAATTTTTAATCCGATAGAAATGGGGATATATGTATACTGTGTTACACCCATAAATAGGTGATTCTTTATTACGGAAAATATATAATGGTTCTTTAGTGCGAAAACTCCCCCACCCTCCCCAACCGGAAATATCTGTATCCGCCCCTGATACCGCTGTGATTTCTCTCGGACAACATGTTGGTCAGCTTTATCATGTTTTTCATGGATATTTTTTGTTTATAGGAATGTCACGGATTGACGGAGATAGACCGTAATGTATATCGTTATTTGTAATACTCACGAGTAGAGTTTCCAAGACATTCACTAACAGAATACATTTCCGTCTTCCAATGGGCCTGATTGACGAGATATGGAGCTCAGTTGTTGTTCTAGACAAATATCTATCTCCCAGTAAATGTGTTTTCATCGTATTTATGTCAGAGGTTGATAAAACCCAGATTTTTTTCAATGTGTTTCTATATATCATTATCGATATAAGTATTGAAGAGGCGTATGTCTTATTACTATCAGACATATACACGCACGCGCCCATTAATTGAAATGTTTTCTATATATCAACCATGTATGTGGTGAATCGGCCATAAACCTTTCTCTGATACCAGCTGATACCGTATCTATAATAAAGTATCCCATCCTTCCCTAGCTTGTATACTATCTGGTACCGTATTTGCCATAAAGTATCCCCATCTTTCTCTAGCTTGTATACTAGCTGGTACCGTATTTACCATAAAGTACCCCCATCCTTCTCTAGCTTGTATACTAGCTGGTACCGTATTTACCATAACGTACCCCCATCCTTCTCTAGCTTGTATACCAGCTGATACCGTATTTACCATAACGTACCCCCATCCTTCTCTAGCTTGTATACTAGCTGGTACCGTATTTACCATAAAGTACCCCCATCCTTCTCTAGCTTGTATATTAGCTGATACCGTATCTATAATAAAGTATCCAATCCTTCTCTAGCTTGTATACTAGTACCCCATAAAGTACCCCATCCTTCTTGTATACTAGCTTGTATACCAGCTGATACCGTATTTACCATAACGTACCCCCATCCTTCTCTAGCTTGTATACTAGCTGGTACCGTATTTACCATAAAGTACACCCATCCTTCCCTATCCTATCCTAACTTATACACTAGGTGATCTGTGATGAAATGTTGTAAATTGTATTACTACTTCATCTGTTTATTTTTTGGCTGTTATTCCAGAATGTGAAAGGCCTGAGTATAATGAAATAGAAGAGGCTTTGAACTCGGAGGTTAACCCCGTACAGAGTGACGCACCAACTGGTTTCCAGGATAACGGAAACTCGAATAGTAATGTCGGCGCTGTACATTCGGTCAGCGTCATAGCGGCTTTCAGAACCATACTGGTGGTGTTAATTATGTTCTTGTTATAGTGACAAAATATGTTCTGACAGTTAATAAATGGCAGGTTAAAATTTGGAATTGCTCATCTACAGACAGTGATAGAGAGAGTCAGCTGCCGGTAGAGACTACGGGTGATTCAGGACCAGGGATAATAAAAGTTTTCACTCAACTGTATCCGGTTTTAATAAGTGATTTGTGGACGATTCGGAATCTCAAAAGAAGACGAAAAACAAAGCCGATTAACGATTAAGACCAGAAGAGAACAATGATGTTACATCCTGCTATATTCACAAAAATGAATTCGGCTTTTACATGTGTCTCTGACCAGCAGGAGTCTTGGTACTTTGGCTGTGGACAGCACAGGTATCCGTATGGGATTTACTCGTTTCCTTTCAGCCGTTCACCAAGTTCTCATCTAGTATTGATCTCTATTATTAAAGTAATGTTGGATCGTTTGTGACGTATGTACTTTATGTGTATACGTCATCAGAATTGTGATAATACAACCTGCTGTGTACCACATGTGATGGTTACAGTGTGACGGAGTGCACACGCTAATGGCTGATACAGTATGACGTTCTAAGCATCTTACTGCTTTTTCACATTGAATCATTGTTCTCTCATCGGGTAGTTAATTTGTGACGTATGACACGTCATTGCTGAATCTATGACATCATGCGCCGTTTATCGTATATTAAAACTTTTGTTCCGAGTATCATTGATATACCACGATATGAATACATCCTGGACTGTGTATATATACCGTAATATTACATTTGTGGTGTGTTGTGTTGTCATCTTCGCAAATATTAAGACGTTATATGGTGTAATTGTGTCCACATAGATATTGTGTTGTGATCCTATTGGTTTAAATATCATTGTAACTGCTCCTTTCAGACGTGCTTTTTAAATGTCATCGTATACATGTTTCGACTTCCACATCTAGAAATGGAGAGGTCAAACATATCCTAGTATAGAATATAAAGTCTGGATAATCAAAGTACTGTGATTATCGATTTCTACTTCGACCCTATGAACATTCTTGTCTCTAGTTGGAGACCAAGGTGTACCACCCAACAGAGGAGGGTGTTACTGAGCAGATATAACTTTGCAAAGGTCTTTTCAATATGGCTTTCACTAGTAATTTCACTGTAACATATTTCTGTTTGTGATTGTTACTGTGTATATGTGACTTGTGTGTGAATGTTACTGTGTATATGTGACTTGTGTGTGAATGTTACTGTGTATATGTGACATGTGTGTGAATGTTACTGTGTATATGTATATGTGACGTTTGTGTGCGGATGTTACTGTGTACACGTAGATGTGACGTTTGTGTGCGGATGTTGCTGTGTACACGTAAATGTGGCGTTTGTGTGCGGATGTTACTGTGTACACGTAGATGTGACGTTTGTGTGCGGATGTTGCTGTGTACACGTAGATGTCACGTTTGTGTGCGGACGTTACTGTGTACGCGTAAATGTGACGTTTGTGTGCGGATGTTACTGTGTACACGTAAATGTGACGTTTGTGTGCGGATGTTACTGTGTACACGTAAATGTGACGTTTGTGTGCGGACGTTACTGTGTACGCGTAAATGTGACGTTTGTGTGCGGATGTTACTGTGTACACGTAAATGTGACGTTTGTGTGCGGATGTTACTGTGTACACGTAGATGTGACGTTTGTGTGCGGATGTTGCTGTGTATACGTTGTCACGTGTGTGCGGACGTGTACGTAAATGTGACGTTTGTGTGCGGATGTTACTGTGTACACGTAAATGTGACGTTTGTGTGCGGATGTTACTGTGTACACGTATAAGTGACGTTTGTGTGCGGATGTTACTGTGTACACGTAGATGTGACGTTTGTGTGCTGATGTTACTGTGTACACGTAGGTGTCACGTTTGTGTGCGGATGTTGCTGTGTACACGTAAATGTGACGTTTGTGTGCGGACGTTACTGTGTACGCGTAAATGTGACGTTTGTGTGCGGATGTTGCTGTGTACACGTAGATGTCACGTTTGTGTGCGGACGTTACTGTGTACACGTAGATGTCACGTATGTTACTGTGTACACGTAAATGTGACGTTTGTGTGCGGATGTTACTGTGTACACGTAGATGTGACGTTTGTGTGCGGATGTTGCTGTGTACACGTAAATGTGACGTTTGTGTGCGGATGTTACTGTGTACACGTAAATGTGACGTTTGTGTGCGGATGTTACTGTGTACGCGTAAATGTGACGTTTGTGTGCGGATGTTGCTGTGTACACGTAAATGTGACGTTTGTGTGCGGATGTTACTGTGTACACGTAGATGTGACGTTTGTGTGCGGATGTTACTGTGTACACGTAGGTGTCACGTTTGTGTGCGGATGTTGCTGTGTACACGTAAATGTGACGTTTGTGTGCGGATGTTACTGTGTACACGTAGATGTGACGTTTGTGTGCGGATGCTACTGTGTACACGTAGATGTGACGTTTGTGTGCGGATGTTGCTGTGTACACGTAGGTGTGACGTTTGTGTGCGGATGTTACTGTGTACACGTAGATGTGACGTTTGTGTGCGGATTTTAGAGTGTACATATGAATTCGGTTAGTAATATAATTGTGATGACTAAGTTGTATCCAAAAAGAAAGAGAAATTATTGAACGATTTACATCTTTCCAAATAAAATCCAGTTATTTTTGTAAACGATACACTAAAGAATTTAATAATAACGTTCCGGAATCCCAATACATGATGTTGTTTGGCTTTCAGTGAGCTACCTGTACGAAATATGCGATGCAGCCAGACAACACGTCTAACGAAATAATTCAAAGCTTACGTATCTGCATCTCGCTATAACGCAGAGGATAACGGCGGGGTGTTTGTTTTAAATGTATTAATAACAAGACATAACACGACGGGAAAATCTAAACTTTATATCCCCATCATTGTCCCAGTACTAGAACTTATACACACGATCAGTTACGTTTGTGATACCATCGACTGAATTCTTCTCAAACGGTCCCTCGTACACTCGTTTTCCCCAATCCGAACCTTAATGGTAGGAGACTTGCTTATATCATGTTTCTCCTTTTGATTTTGTTAATTATTACAAGCAAATTCAAAAATATATTTATGGGTAAATTATTGAGGTGTTTACTACCTGTTTGTAGTTTACAATTCTCCCGTGTCGTGAAGTATAATGTTGTTGTGATATTGTAGACCTGTCTGTACGTGAGTGTATATAATGTATAAAGACCTATTTTTATCATGTTCGATAGGTTAGATACTGAAGTGGATAACCCCCTGTCATCAGTAATCACACCCCCTTGTAAATACTCCACATATTTAAAGCGATGCAGTTAAACATTTGAGTCACTTCCTCGTATGCACAGTTGTTCAGCACATCTGTTTTAAATGAATTACTTAAGTCGTTTATCCATCTACGTAGTAATGCGCTGAAAAAAACCGTTCTCTGTGTACAGAAGTTCATTTCGCTGACTGACAGAGCCTGAACAGCTTAACGCCGCACGTTCTACTGTTTCATTCATAGTCCTATGATTCTCAATATCATCAAATAATGTACGTCGTTTGAATACGGTCGTGTTCCATGAACCACCATTACCGTTGGTAATACCTCTGTGTGGGAGTGGTATTGTTGTTTTGCTGTTAACAAACGTTATCATTAATGACTGGTTAGAGAGTACACTTCCTTTTCCCGTTACTAGTCACCTCGCCTGTCTGGCGGTGTACGCCCCTTAATCCCATGTGATGAGGGGATCACTCGTAAGTATGTGTAAGTGTCTAAAGTATTACAGTGATTTACATTTGTATATTATTTGTAAATAGTATATGTAATGCAATTATAGAGCCTCGTTTTGATCCCCTGTGTAAAGCACCTTCGGCTCTGTCTGCCCCTAGCTAACCATGTAGTGATTATAAGATATTGAAATCCAGGCAATAAATGTGAGAAATTGTCTACTTGTTTGATTTCACTTAATTGACAATTGAGACCCAGACGGTTTGTGTATAATGTGGCGGCAAGCTGCCATATCGGTCAACTAAGATTATGTTTCAACCCAACTATGATAACATAACACGTAAACATGTCCAGAAATTGCGTCAGAGTTTTAGGTACAATCACACTTCCAGGTGTATCAGGTCACATGCTGATGGTAAGTTTCCAACAAGAGGCCCACTAGGCATGCATCACTCAGCTGATGTTCAATGCTTTTCTGATAACTGACACTTAAAAGACTCGGTTAATGAGAAATTGTTTAAAGGTTTTTTTTAAACAAATTTGACATTTGTGACCCCAAAGACGGATCAATGTCGTATCATATCAGTAATCGCTTCATCTGACTAACCTACCCATTTCAGAAATATCCAGATTCGAGGCGTTTAATCAGAAGAAACCGTTTAAATGTTTCAGCGAATTTGACTACTGTGGCCTTGAGAACTAATGTAGGCCAATGTCACTTCCTTTTACACTTTTTGTTGGGTTTATTCAAGGAACTCTCCAGCCAAATATAATGATTCTAGACAAATTAGTTATTGCGAAGAAGTCGTTTGAAAGCATTGACACATGTAATCTTGAAGGCGAGTCAAAGTTATTTCTTTTCGCAAATTTGTATCGGGCTTCTCTGGAACCTACAACCAGTACACTTATTTTAGATTGAAGACCTCGTGATCAATCAGAAGACGACGTTTGAAGGTGTCGACGAACATGGCCCGTTACATTTAACATGGATCAAGGTCCTCCCCAGGCTTCATTCTGGGAACCTTCGAACAATATGACAAAAGTCTATGGCTTTTGAGAAGAATCTGCTTAAAGTTTAAACAGATTTGACCGAGATGGCATTGGATATTGGACAAGGTTACATTTTTTCGCAAACTTTGTCATGATTCATCCCAGCAAAATATCCAGATCGAGGGCTTTTTGGTTTTCCGGAAGAAGTCATTTGAAAGTTTAAACATGTTTCATTCTTGTGACCTTGAATATAGGCCAAGGTCATTTTTTCATCGACTTCGTTGGGCTGTATCCATGGAACCTTCCAGCCAACTAACATGATTCTAGGTCTTTTGGCTGATGGGGATATGCCAAGTTGACGCCGGACGGACGACAGCATAAGCTCTGGCTTTGTGAGCTAAAATTAGAATCTAATCACTTAAATGCCCGGTATTAACCAGAATACAAACATATGCCACACATAACATGTCTCAGTGATACAAAACTACTTTCCTCCAAAAATGGGGTTTTGAAATTAATCATTACAAAATACTGTTGGCCCACGGGCCTTAACGGTCATCTGACCACAAACACTTTCCACGAGGAGAAGGGTTATTTTATCTATCTTACTAAGAAGCTGTTTTCAATGATACAGATGGTAGTCTTGGTGAAGAGTAGATAGCTGTAACAAGTCTTATTTATTTTTGACAGTAAAGTTGGTGTTCAATCCAACTGGTGAAACTTGAGATGAAGTTTGAAATAGGTGTTGCACAGGAAAACCATGATTGCGCAATCACGCTATAAAATGGCCTCCCTTGCTGCCGTATCGAAATTTTAACGAGGTCGAAAAATAACAACTTTCTTTGATATTCCCAACAATTTTAAGCTCAATGGCACCAGTGGAACTGGAGAAGAAGTTTTTAATATGTTTTTCAAGATGGCGGTCATCTTAGAGTTCAGACATACCTGAAACATAACAACATTTGGTCTAGACCATCTCGGGATCATTCCATACCAGTTTGAGCTCAAACCCACTGGTGGAACTTGAGAAGAAGTTTGAAATGTCAAAAGTTTACGCACGGCGGACGGCGCACGCCGGACGACGACGAACGAAGCACGACAGCTAAAAATAATTCCACTTTGATAGCAAACAGAAATATGAATTCAATGTTTTGATAAGAAATAACTTAAAGTCCTGTTCCTACAGTAATTATGCAAATGTATCTGGGCAGCTGCATGTACCATTTGGCAATGCTGCCACACAATCAAAGCTGTACGACCACAATCAGATCTGTATGCAAATGTGATAACAGTAATTCAGTTAACAGAGGTGATTGAGCAATAATTGTTAGAAGTAATTAATTTCTCATGCCATAACTGAGGAAACACGGTTTCAAGTGGTAAAAAAGGAATGTTATGAATGCCAACATACCGTAAATAAATATATCAATATTCCGCATCTGTTCCCTCACATTATCGTGATCCATGCAATGTTTGACACCATAAAGCTATACATTGTGCCCATAAAACGCATCAGTGATCAGGCCCTATAGTCAAAATCTGCAACGTTTGTCAACCACATTTTGACGAGTTTTGAAATCGATGATCTGGTCATTAGTTAGACCAGTAAATATACACTTTGATAAGATGTTGCGGCCAGTTGCTGAACTAGTGGTTATATCGTAATAAAAAATAAACAAAATACATGTAAAAAGAGACTGATTTGTCCGCATTTGTCGTCAACTCACTTTGTTTTCAGGTAACACATGAGCTGGCGGCAATCTCCTTTTTCCAATAAAAAAAAATGAAAGTAAGTTCACCTGTAACAATTAATGTATTCATAAAAAATGAAATTAAAATGGCATCATATTCAGACAAGCAATATTGAAATCAATGAATTTTTCAAGGGTGCCGATTTTCTTACTTCAAGAATTCCTTGGAAGAGATGGACCGCAGGGACACGGTCACTAAAGACCACGATAGAGTCCTAGGAAGAAAACTGTCTAGAGCCTACTCATTGGCTGCCAGTTTAGCCTTCAGCCCATCTGAGAAATACTTCTTTGCGAACTTCTCGTCACCGTATACGAAGTGTTGAGACATGTCTGGTGAGTATTTAGAGGCGGGAGGAGTCCGTCCATACACTTCTGCCAGGATACGGGTATAGTAGGAAGCATTCCCACAGCACAGTCCGATGTAACGAACACCTATCTCTTTTGCCTCACGAGCAAACGCAGTGATTTGTGTCCGACTGCACAGCCATGCTGGAAGGTCCTCTGGAAAGGCCATCTTACCTGTATCGTGTACAAAATAGACATTAGGGTTATGCCCCGTATACGTGTACAATAAAGAGATTAGGGTTATACTCCTCATATGTGTCACGTGTACAAAATTGAGATTAGGCTAATGCCCCTTATACGTGTCACGTGTACAAAATAGACATTAGAGTTATTCCCCTTATACATGTAACGCTTACAAAATAGAGATTAGGGCTATGCCCCTTATACGTGTCACGTGTGCAAAATAGAGATTAGGGTAATGCCCCTTATACGTGTCACGAGTACAAAATAGAGATTAGAGTTATTCCCCTTATACATGTAACGCTTACAAAATAGAGATTAGGGTAATGCCCCTTATACGTGTCACGAGTACAAAATAGAGATTAGAGTTATATCCCCTTATACATGTAACGTGTACTAAATAGAGATTAGAGTTATGTCCCTTATACGTGTACAAAATAGAGATCAGAGTTATACCCCCTTATACGTGTCACGTGTACAAAATAGAGATTAGGATTATACCCTTATACATGTAATGTGTACAAAATAGAGATTAGAGTTATACTCCTCATATGTGTCACGTGTACAAAATTGAGATTAGGCTAATGCCCCTTATACGTGTCACGTGTACAAAATAGTGATCAGTGTTATACCCCTTATACGTGTCACGTGTACAAAATAGTGATTAGTGTTATACCCCTTATACGTGTCACGTGTACAAAATAGAGAGTAGAGTTATACCTCCTTATACGTGTCACGTGTACAAAATTTATGTACGATTAGTATTAGTTAATCTTTATTGTTTTTTGTTAGTTCTGACTCGCCTGTGTCCGCGTCCACTAGAGAATGCATTGTCGGTTGTTCGTCGGTCGTGCGGTATGGGATCGGCAAACAGGCTACAGGTCCCTGAAACAGCAATGTCTCTATAAAACTCATTTTTTCACCTGACAAAGAATACAGCACCACATTACTGTCTGTTACGGACAACTGATAATTGTCTTCTCCAGGTCAACGTTTGCTAGGAACGACTAGAAGCAATTATCCATCTCAAGGACAAGAGCTGAACAACTGAGATTCAATCTCCCTCTCACGGGCAACGACTGCTATGACCAGCTGAGATCAGAATTCCTACTTATGAATGACGTCTGCTATGGAACAATTAAAAGATAATCTCCCTCTCAAGGACGACGTCTGCTATGGACAATTGAGAGTTATTTTTCCTCCAATGGAAGACGTCTGCTGTGGATAACTGAGTGTTATTTTACCTCCCGTTGAATACATCGGCTATGGACAACTGAGAGAGCTTATTTCCATCTCATGTGCACAGCCTGATATCACCGCTGAGAGCTTATTTCCATCTCATGTGCAAAGTCTGATATCACCGCTGAGAGCTTATTTCCATCTCATGTGCACAGCCTGATATCACCGCTGAGAGCTTATTTCCATCTCATGTGCAAAGTCTGATATCACCGCTGAGAGATTATTTCCATCTCATGTGCACAGCCTGATATCACCGCTGAGAGCTTATTTCCATCTCATGTGCACAGCCTGATATCACCGCTGAGAGCTTATTTCCATCTCATGTGCACAGCCTGATATCACCGCTGAGAGCTTATTTCCATCTCATGTGCACAGCCTGATATCACCGCTGAGAGCTTGTTTTACTCTTATGGAAGGTGTGTGCTATGCAGAACTGAATGTTAATTTCCCTCTCAAGGATGCCTATATTACTTTCGTACCACGTTGTACGTGTTTAATAAGGAAAAAAATGAAATATATAATAGAGACTTAGTGTCTTTATTCAGGAGTGGAAAACAGAAAAAATAGCTTTTGAGATATATGTATGACAGATGTCTGGTCAGAAATTGTACAACTAACACATTTAATCTGCTGATTATCGAATCGTGATATTGTCCGAAACGGGATATACTCTTAGTATACATGTGGTTTAATGTGACAACAGGAGCTTGCCGTGGAGTTCGGCACGAGTTTGGTAGGGAACTCGATAAATCACATCAGGAATCACATCTCGATGTAATAAACGCTATCAATCCGAGTTCATTTACGTGTGATTTACACACAGTTAGTGGTATGTGTTACAATATTAAGCGAGACAGAAATGAATTATTCGCACCACGCGCAGACTAACTCCCAGACGAAACGAGAAACAGAACCTTTCGTCTTTGATGCTGATGACCTAATTAACGACGAATGCGTTATCATAATTCCGAAATCTACAACTGTAATTCTGCTGTGTAGCGAACATACGCGGTACTGGTCCGGGGCAACGGGATATATTTGTGCCGACAAAGTAGTCAGTCTCTTAAAAATTGAAAGGAAACATTCAAAGTTTACACAAACACTTTATCACTTTAAGCCGGAGACATGTGTTTTCTATTTCGTGAAATATGACTAGTCATTTATCAAAGGAAGACAACTCTATTCCAACGAGGAAGATATGGATTAGAGAACGCCTTCCCTCGTTACACGGATTTAGTTCCGGGTTGTAGTCAGACTTTTCCAATAAATATTCAGAAGAGCATGACCAATGAGGATGAAGCCGGCACGCGGCGGTTACTTAACTCACGATTTCCAAGAGGTGTCACGCCAGCTGTCTATTTATCAGCTGGTTCCACCTGATCTCCCCTTCCCGGTCTCTAACACTTCTACCCAATCTCAAAAATCTCAATATCCAGGGTAAACACCAGCAGGGGTTATATTATGGTCAGATAATAACCAAACTTTACAAAGAAACAGCTTAAATTTTGGTTAAGTCTACTCCATCACAACAGACAGGAGTTCCTGTTTCTATAAGACTTTCTGTCAACAATCTTTAATCACGAAAACAGTGATTACATCTCAAACAGCACGAAATTCTGTCACATAAAACAACACTTTTTAAATGTATCTCTTATTCTCTAAAAGAGTGTTTATCATTGTGTAGGATAAATAAAACAGAATACACAGAGGTCGTGACAGAGGGGACGGGGAACTCTCTGTCGTTATACAGAGGAGAGGGAATCGTATGTCGTTATACAGAGGAGAGGGAATCGTATGTCGTTATACAGAGGAGAGGGACTCGTATGTCGTCATACAGAGGAGAGGGAATCGTATGTCGTCATACAGAGGAGAGGGAATCGTATGTCGTCATACAGAGGAGAGGGAATCGTATGTCGTCATACAGAGGAGAGGGAATCGTATGTCGTCATACAGAGGAGAGGGAATCGTATGTCGTCATACAGAGGAGAGGGAATCGTATGTCGTTATACAGAGGAGAGGGAATCGTATGTCGTCATACAGAGGAGAGGGAATCGTATGTCGTCATATAGAGGAGAGGGAATCGTATGTCGTCATGCAGAGGAGAGGGACTCGTATGTCGTCATACAGAGGAGAGGGAATCGTATGTCGTCATACAGAGGAGAGGGAATCGTATGTCGTCATACAGAGGAGAGGGAATCGTATGTCGTCATACAGAGGAGAGGGAATCGTATGTCGTCATACAGAGGAGAGGGAATCGTATGTCGTCATACAGAGGAGAGGGAATCGTATGTCGTTATACAGAGGAGAGGGAATCGTATGTCGTCATACAGAGGAGAGGGAATCGTATGTCGTTATACAGAGGAGAGGGAATCGTATGTCGTCATACAGAGGAGAGGGAATCGTATGTCGTCATACAGAGGAGAGGGAATCGTATGTCGTTATACAGAGGAGAGGGAATCGTATGTCGTCATACAGAGGAGAGGGAATCGTATGTCGTCATACAGAGGAGAGGGAATCGTATGTCGTCATACAGAGGAGAGGGAAACGTATGTCGTAAAAGAGAGGAGTGTGATTCTTATGTCGTTATAGCGAGGATTGGGAACCTTATATCGTTATACCGAGGATTGGGAACCTTATATCGTTATAACGAGGATTGGGAACCGTATGTCGTTATAGCGAGGAGTGCGAATCTTTTGTAGTCATATCGAGAATTGGGGACCTTATGTCGTTATAAAGCTGAGTTTATACCTTATGTCGTTAATGGAAAAGATTGGGAACGGTACACATGGAATTCCAGTTAAGTAGTGTGTTTCGTCGACGCTAAAAAGGCTTCAACATATTCATCAGGGAATTTTTGTGGTTTAAATAAAAAACATCAGGAATCAATGGGACGTTTCTTGGCGCAGTTAAACCCCTTTATAAAGACAACTGTTGTGCTTTGTGATCATACAGCTACGTTTCTGAGTGGTTCCCTGTCGACTCGCGTCCGGCTTAGGCCGGTCAGATGCTTATTATAAAATTCGGTCCGCCCCTCCGTCCGGAGTTTTGTTCGGCTATTTCGGCGGTCCTTCCGTCTGACAGTCCGTCTGTTCGTCGGCCGGTCCTTCCGTCTGACAGTCCGTCTGTTCGTATCACCTTAATACATCTGTAAATGTTTCTTTTTATTTTCTTGATTTCTGTTTGTTTGGTTCTATTATGTAAATATATCTATATTTGGTTTTGTTATGATATTGCTATAAAAATGATGTTTTTATTCATTTGATATTAATTTTACATGCATTTTAATGATTTATAAAAATATCAAATTAAAAACAAGTACACTTTATTTTATATAACTGTAAGTCAATTAAAATTCACACGTCAGACATCTATTTTCACTGCATGCCGCCGAGATGAGCCAAGACTTTAATGTATGCTATTTTTCAACTGCAAGTCTATTGTACAAAACCACTAAAACTGTTTAATATCACAAAATAACCTTATCAGCCTATACTTATGGAATTAAGAGTATAACACAGACACTAGTAGGAATGAAGTATCTATGTCCAGTTAACGGTAAATTGTAGATAAAATACAGAATCTCTAAAATATGTGTTTGACTGGACAAACAATGATATACGTACGCCTATATTCCTCATTTGTCTTGGCAGCAATTACAATGTCATATTTTTCAGTAAACCGTGGGTGAACATTAAAATCTAAAATATATGCTGGGATAATCATTCTTTATGAATAAGCATATTCTATATTTGGTTATGACAGTAATGAGAAGAACATCTTTTTCATTCTTCAATACCACATTAAATGTTAATTTGACCCCAAAATATCAATTTCTTTACTGTATTTGATAGCAATCAATTTCAAATTGCGAATAACTCAACAGCTTAAATAATACATACTGATGGGCAGATATCTCATGACATCATGTAAAACCCAACATAACCGAGACAAACAGCGAGTAAACAAATCAACCGGGTAGATTCGGGTAGATCTGCAGTCATTTGATCAATATGTTAATTAGAAGACATACTAATCTCAGCATGTTCCGACACCCCTTGTGTAAACATATGGATACATCCAAATGCACTACAGTATATAAGTACAAGTACATCGTGTAGGTAATTAAATGATCAAAATCCATTCCAGATATGTATTATAGGACAATTCTAATCAAATACACACATAGATATTAGATATATATCTAATACATGTAGTACGGATCAGTTACGTGATGAAATATTGTACCAATGACGTTACTACAGGTGTATATATATATATATAGGACAGGTAATGAAGTGTCCAGCGTCGTCTAACGTCAGGACCAGACACAGGTGTTATTTACCTGTATATTATCACACCGGCACAGACTGAGGAAGTAGATGATGTACCCTTATTATAAAGTCTGACGTTACCTATTGTATATGTCAGAATGTCATGAGATACGTATATACATAATAAATTATAATAATGTACATATGGGTCAGTGACATGTTTGAATCCAACTGAATTTTTTTTAAAAACATCCATAGCAACATTTGTAATTTGATGGTCAAACAAACAAGACCTTGGAATCGTGTAAATAATCAATGCTCTTATCAAATACATCACATACTGATGTTAAGGGGTTGGGAAGGAACCATCAATTACATGGAGACGATATATATATATCTGTTCATTAAAATCAGCAACATATCTCTTTGTATGAGTTTATTAACCTGAAGCTCCTTTCGTGGGTTTCTGTTTTAGTGAGGATTATTTGTCTAGGGTAGATTTTCCTCCCACTTTATGATACACCTTAAACACACGTGCACTTACTTTGCAGCATTTGATGATATCGCGTACGATCGGAAGCATGCTTTTCGGTCCTCTGTTACAATTGACACCTACTACGGCTGCGCCAGCCTCTTCCAACTTCCGGCAAGCATCGCCGTAAAGGTGACCATCAAAAGTATGGTAGGCACCGGACGGAGCAAACGTGATGACGGCGGGTACGCCTGGAAGGTTAAAAAGGGGTCATGTTTAACACTTATTTAGAGAATGCAAGTAAAACATGATGTGATGTTAAAGAAAGTGGACAAAAAAGAGAACTAAATATTCCAAGAACACATTTTGCCGACCGACATTGCTAGTAATTTACAGAATTAAACTAAATGAACGCCCACGATTACTAAATCAGACGACGTTATGTATATATAAGTGATGGATTACGAATGATTCCTTTTCATTTCAGTCTCAGTCTACAGCGCTATATGTTAACTACGTGTAAATACTTCCTAATAATGTCATAAACAAACGTCTGACCTCATCAAAGTGATGTTAAGTGAAAGCGAGGTTAATATCACAAAACATATTAACGGACACGTGACTGCTTTCGTCTAGTCACAAACCTTAGTGATGATTTCTACAATAGATGTTACCTTTGCCGTACGTCTTGATGGCTTCTAGAGCAAGGAGAGCTTCCCCTAAGTCGTTAAAGGTTTCTCCTATGATGTAATCCACATTGTACTCGCTAGCCCATTCCACTTGTTCCTTTAATGATTCAGGTCAAAGGTTATATATCTCTGCAGTGATATAAATTAAGATCTACCTCTAAAGCCCTAGTAACATAAGACTGTAGATGTATTTCTACATTTCCTTGAAATCTTTTACACGCCTTTCATTAATTCCTGTTAAACAGAGACGAAATAATTGTATGCATTATAATGGATATCAAACGTAATAAAAAAATTATCAGGAGTAGTAAAATGGGCATGGAGAGACGAGGCCTCTATACATGTACTTTTGTTACGATATTCTCACCAAAAAGACATAAAATTGAGAGAAAAGAGGTTTTATTAGGTAAGCCGGTAGAAGAATATTATACAATGAGTTAAACCATGAAAACATATCACCATAAACAGACAATATATGATATTTTTGTTTGTTTTTCTTTATCTATATCTGTAATAAAGATCACAAGAAATAAACAAGAATAAACACTTGCAAAATTAAAGTGATGGGAAGTATCGATTTTCCGGAAATGACGTACTTTGAACATGAACATGGCCTCTCGATGTGTCGCGGGGTCATCCTTATCATACAACGTCGTGTTGCAAATGTCTCCCGCCATCAGGGTCCCAGTCTTGTCCGCTACCTCACGAGCGATCTGCAGGGCCGTCCTCTGAAGTTTCTCGAGGTCATCTTCTCGGCCTATTGCACGCAGTTTCTCTCGGTGGCCGTAATACTGTGTAAAAGAGAACTTAATTACATATACATTTACTTTGTTTGTTATACATTGTTTTAAAGATTTAAAAAAAAAAATGTGTTGTAACGAAAATTATGACCGATGATTGTCTCGGTTTTACTCTAGATATTGTTCTTATTGTATTGAAATATATTAATTTATTTGATTGATTTAATTGCATCATAGATGGCCTGTTTCTACAAGGTAATATATACAGTATATGCCACAACAGTGTCGCTGCCAGCATGAACAAATTCCTCTGAGAGGAGACGGAGCTGTTCCGGATGCTCTATGACTACTTCCGGTACAAATGCCCCAGCCTTCAAATAACCGCGACGCTCAAACTCGTACAGGTATCCTTCCGCCACCACTAGTGTCCCACCATCTGCAAGTCGTTCCGTCAATCCTTCAAACAAAATAGTTATAGTAGAAGGGAAGTAACTCCTATATAAACATAAGATGGCAGGTATACAAGGACGGTCTACTATAATAAATAAATCCAACATGAAATGGACATGAAGGTAACTGATATTATCCTGCAACTGACACTGCCTTAGTCGGAATACATCTGTCACATATAGTTTTGCTGTATTCGGCAGTGATGGAAAACAGCTGTTTCAGCACGTGCGGTAATTCAACAGAATTTACTTTAAAGTTACGTTTAATGATAATGGCAAACTGTTGAAATAAGTGATTTAATATATTGTAATGTTTATTTACGAAAATTCATAAAATCGCTGTCAAATCAGCTGAACTTTAGAACAACATTTCTACGCTAAGCAATTATTTTGGCGTACGTCATCAGGCAAAATTCAGCGTAACGTCCTCGACAGGTAAACAAAAAAAGAACAACAAAACTGCTGAAGTTATGGTTGTCAGATTTTAAATCAACGATTGCAGGATAAATAGAATATATGGTCAGTGTCATAAAATATAAGCTCCATTTTTGCAAGGGACAGAAAGAAAAAAATGGCTCGCCAGACGGTGTTACATGCACATATTACATCTATAACAGGGTAGTTATGGTATAGGTTTTATTACATCTATAAAAGGGTAGTTAAGGGATGGGTGTTATAACATCTATAACAGGGTAGTTATGGGATGGGTGTTATTACATCTATAACAGGGTAGTTATGGGATGGGTGTTATAACATCTATAACAGGGTAGTTATGGTATGGGTTTTATTACATCTATAAAAGGGTAGTTATGGGATGGGTGTTATTACATCTATAACAGGGTTGTTATGGTATGGGTGTTATTACATCTATAACAGGGTAGTTATGGGATGGGTGTTATTACATCTATAACAGGGTTGTTATGGTATGGGTTTTATTACATCTATAACAGGGTAGTTATGGGATGGGTGTTATTACATCTATAACAGGGGAGTTATGGGACGGGTGTTATTACATCTATAACAGGGTAGTTAAGGGATGGGTGTTATAACATCTATAACAGGGTAGGTATGGGATGGGTGTTATTACATCTATAACAGGGTAGTTATGGGATGGGTGTTATTACATCTATACTAGGGTAGTTATGGGATGGGTTTTATTACATCTATAACAGGGTAGTTATGGGATGGGTGTTATTACATCTATAACAGGGTAGTTATGGTATGGGTGTTATTACATCTATAACAAGGTAGTTATGGGATGGGTGTTATTACATCTATAACAAGGTAGTTATGGGATGGGTGTTATAACATCTATAACAGGGTAGTTATGGGATGGGTGTTATTACATCTATAACAAGGTAGTTATGGGATGGGTGTTATTACATCTATAACAGGGGAGTTATGGGATGGGTGTTATTACATCTATAATAGGGTAGTTATGGGATGACTATTATAAATGTTCTGAAGACCTAATGCTCTGAAAATCTTCAAGACTAGGGTTCTATAGTAAAAGAAAACTCAAACACACGCCGATTTCCAAATAAATGTTAATTATGCTATCTGAATTATTCACACAAAATTGTCCGATGTTTCATAGTCCGAATGTTCGATAGCCAAACAGAAGACTTTAAACTACATTGTACTAGATGAAAAACTATTAGTTGTAGGTATATTTATATATGTACATATATGAGAGAAAGGTACAGAACTCCACAATCGTTGTTTTAGGGCATGTCAGTTTTAACTCAGCTCTTAACAATTTTAACGATAACACCAAAAGCCCTGTTTTCCATCTGTAACAGCTCTATATCATCGTAAAAATGACTATTGTTTCAACAAAATGAGGTACAAGCCTGGTCTATAACGTTATGCACGAAAATACCCAAATCCGGACACGAGTTCGTAACAAAATCAACGGAAAAATTCCTAAAGATTGGAGAGATCGGATCGTTGTACCTAAGGAAACAAGAGATTTGATCCGCTCTTTTATGAACGATCTACACCTGACATATTTTCCAGACAGTCAGATCCCTTGTTTCCTATAGGTCATCAGTCAACAATAATGGCTAGTCTTGTCTCGGGTCAATAGTTACGGATTTAAAACGTCTGTGAGGACCAGCACGGGGATACAGGGTCACCACTCTCTTCAGGTGTACCCAGAGACGTATATATATGGTGTACCCACAGACGTATATGATCTATACAAATTTTAGGTGAATTTGGTTTCAATCGCAGTCCAAACGATATTTAGGTATACTCCGTACATTTTGGTCGGATTTGGGTACTTTTCGTGGAGATAGAGACAAGATAATACCCCCTTATCTGTACCCATACCCCCGTATCTGTACCTTTCTCTTACTACATACATACATAATATTGTTTTCATTATCGAGCTTAGTGCACGTGTTCCAATCAGTCTGAGAAACCTTGCTATCGGACAGATGGGCTTTAAGCAGACTGGACATTAGATGTACATTAACGTGTCCAGATAAACCGGACTCTCTGATAACCCGCCCAACCTAGTCCACCAGGTAGAAACATGTACTTGATACACATTGAGATCCCCAAATCACACAGAGGTAACAACGGCATTCATCCATAAAGTTACCATGCACATATGACCCGTGACAGCTTATGACCCGTAGGGTAAAATATATAAAACTATGTAGCTTCTGAAATAAACATGTTTAGATAGTAAGTAGGTCAATAGGAAAAAATTATCGGGTAGTTTAATCGGAAAATTGGTTATTAAAACGAGGCTAAATCAACACATTGAGTATGATTCATTTCACTTTCAATGTTTGTTCAGCTACTTGCTCAACAGCTAGGAGATAATATTTATATGAAGTCTGCAGCACATAGCAAATCACTCGGCTACTTCTACTGCTATTAGCGTGTATTCAATATTAGGAGATTAAAACCCTACCTTTAACTGGCATATCTTCAGTCGGTCAGGTTCCACTGTCAACGTGTGTCCGCACAATCTGAAGACAATGACCTAGTGATCTACTGGTCGATAATCTCCTAAACGATAACGTATTCCGTTTTCTTGTCTGCCGCAGTAACGTCCCCTGACGTACGCTGAATACTTAATGCGGGTCACGTGCCATCAAGGACGTTTTATAACAACACGTTGTTGTGTGAAAACTCGCTTTCCTCCACTATAGCGATAACATCAAGGCCAATAGGCCTAACAAGGTAAATCCTGTCATGCAGTGTTTGTCTTGCTGACAGATAAATCCATGATCGTCTCATTTTGGAGCATGTTCGATGTGCGTGTCACATACTAAATGGAATGAATGAATGACTAATGAATTGACGGTTTGTTTTCTGTTATCAACAACGGTTCACTATACCGAGAGAGAATATGTGTACGTAAATATTATTTGTACACATGGCGATTTTTTTCGTATAAGAACAGATGCACGCTTATCATGTATCATGCGCGCATGACCCCCTTTCTCCTCGGGCAAAAACTGTCGTCTGTGAATCAATGTCTAGCTTGTAGAGTTTGATGTGGGAGTTATCTTTCTTGTACCAGTATTTTAAGTTATCACTTCAGGACGGATATCGCAACTTTCCGATTTCTTCGTAACTCAATTATTACATCTTAGTGTATAAAATTAACTTGATAACAATAAACATTCATCTAACTTGATACGAATATAATATTCCGAGTAATATACACGTTTTAAACATTATGAAGTGTGTTCTTCTTTCTCTTTATTGAGAAAACACGAATGCAGTAATGTTGTGAAAATAGACAGTCTTTTACTGATTCACCTACATTATCTCTCATATCTAGCATGTTTGTCCGTCTGCTATAACCATCACTGTATGTCCGTCTGTCTATTCATCTGCTAAAACAATGGGTGTATGTCCGTCCGTCTGCTAGAACCATGACTGTACGGCTGTCCGTCTGCTAGAACCATAACTGTATGGCTGTCCGTCTGTTATAACCATGGTTGTATGGCTGTCCGTCTGTTATAACCGTATAACCATGGCTGTGTGTCTGTCCGTCTGTTATAACCATGGCTGTGAGTCTGTCCGTCTGTTATAACCATGGTGGTGTGTCTGTCCGTCTGCTATAACCATGGCTGTGTGTCTGTCTGTCCGTCTGTTATAACCATGGCTACGTGTCCGTCCGTCTGCTATAACCATGGCTGTGTGTTTGTCCGTCTGTTATAACCATATCTAGTATGGCTGTCCGTCTGTTATAACCATGGCTATGTGTCTGTCCGTCTGCTATAACCCCGGCTGTATGGCTGTCTGTCTGTTATAACCATGGTTGTATGGGTCTTCGAGTAAAACAGCCCGTATCAGTCAAAAATGATTTTGCAGAAATTTACTTGGAGTCAGCGAAAGTACTGTAACTGATTTATTATATACTGAGAGGAAAAAGAAACGCAGTTAGCGGAAAGTTAATATTGTAAATTAAATCCTTGACGTACACCCTTTTCAAAAGGGAATTGAAGATGAGATGAGAAATGCTTCCAAGTTCGACCAAAACTATCAGTCTGGAACATTTTAAATAAAGTTGATAATAGGAAAAAAAGACAAAAAATTGATTTGTCGATCAATGAGATATACGCATATTTTAAAAAGTTAAATAGTGATAACGACAAAGATGAGGAATTTATTATTCCAGACATGAGGGGAAGTTTATACGACGATATACTAAATAGTAGAATTACCTCTGAAGAAGTAACTACAGCTGTAACAAAATTAAGTAATAACAAGGCCAGTGGCATTGATAACATAATTAACGAATATATAAAGAGTTCTATTGATATCATGTTACCTACTTATGTAACACTGGATAATACCAGATAGCTGGAACACCGGAATAATTATCCCAATATATAAAAATAAGGGATACAAGAATGACTTAAATAATTACAGGGCGATAACGCTAGTATCTTGTCTTGGAAAAGTCTTCACATCAGTACTAAATACTAGGTTATACGAATTATCTGACCAGATAGGCCTCATTAGTAATGCCCAGGCAGGTTTTAGAAAAGGGCATTCAACAACTGATAACATATTTATCTTACATCTACTTATATCATTATACTTATCGTCTGGAAAAAAATTGTATTGTGCATTTATTGACTTTAAGAAAGCATTCGACTCAGTATGGCGTGTAGGATTGTGGAGGAATTTGCTTAAAAATAACATTGCTGGTAAAATACTTAAAGTGTTATGTAATTTATATTCAAACACGAAATCTTGTGTCAGAAATGGTAGTGATATGTCACAGATGTTTGCTTCTAATGTCGGATTGAAACAAGGAGAAAATTGTTCACCATTTTTGTTTGCCCTGTATCTTAATGATTTGGAGGATTTTTTTATCAGAAAAGAATGTCGACTATTTGTTGAAACTAAATGAATTATGTTGGGATAATATTGGTGTTTTTATAAAATTGTTTGTTATTTTATATGCTGATGATACGGTGTTAATATCTGAAACACCAGAGGGTCTGCAAGCTATGTTAAATCATTTCCAACAGTACTGCCAAAATTTGAAATTAGGAGTGAACACTGGGAAAACTAAAATTGTCATTTTTTCTAAAAGAAAGAATAAATCTAGAAATAGTTTTTTACTTTACAATAACGAACTTGATATACAAAGCTCGTTCCCCTACCTAGGAGTTCTTTTTAATTACAATGGTAGTTTTGCCGCGGCAAAAAAACACTTGTCTGAGCAAGCTCGAAAAGCCCTGTTTGTAGTATACCGAAAAATAAGAAATATTGATTTGCCGCTTGACTTGAAATTGAAATTATTTGATGCATTGGTATCCCCGATTTTATTATATTCAAATGAAATATGGGGATATGAGAACTGTTATCTTATTGAAAAGATACATTTACAATTTTGTAAGAGAATTTTGGGGTTGAAGAAAAGTACAACCAATTTTATGGTCTACGGAGAAATCGGAAGATACCCTATTACTATAGATATTAAATTAAGAATGGTTAAATATTGGTACTCACTAATCCTGAATGAGAATAAATTATCAAATTGCATGTATAAATTGATGTATTCACTCAACGAAACAGGCCAAACAGAATTCAAATGGATAAACTGCATCAAAAATATTTTAAACAGTGTTGGATTAGGTCATGTATGGATGTTTCAGAAAACTTGTTTACCACATATCAATTTTTTAAAATCTGAAGTTGCTCAGAGACTGAAGGACCAGTTTGTCCAATCTTGGTTTGACGAAATGGAAAAATCGTCCAGAGGACAAATATATAGTATTTTCAAAAGTGAATTTGGTATTGAAGACTATTTATTACGGTTGAATAAAAAAGATGCAGAATTTATCTGTAAATTCAGAACAGCAAATGTTAAATTACCGGTAGAATTAGGTAGATGGAGAGGGATACAACATCTTGATCGAGTATGTCCCATGTGTAATAATGGTATAGGAGATGAGTTTCATTTTTTATTTTTGTGTAATAATGATGAAGTAAAACAGCTAAGACTGAAGTATGTCCCGGGATACTACTGTAAATATCCTAACCGATACAAAATGAAAGGGATGTTCACAGTCTTTAATAAAAAGTTATTGATGAATGTAAGCATGTTTATCCAACGATTGTCATACATTTTATAATGCGACTGCGTTAATTGTTAGCATTGATTGTCCTAGATATTAAAATGTTTGAGCTGCTTACAATGTATGTTTTCGGAAAATCAACAAATATATAACACGTTTATAACTATGGCTGCCTGTCATGTACTAAAAATGTTTCAATATGTATGACCTCTTGTCACACATTGTTGTTGTCCGAGAGAAATAAAAAATCTTGAAATCTTGAAATCTTGAACAAATGTGTGCATTGGAGTTAGGTCCCTATGGTACCGTATTAAAATCACTGAAGCATAACTAAACTGCGCACGCCGCTTGTACAAAAGAATAAGAGACAAAAGCACGATATCTCGATCCCAGTATAAATCGTCAGACATATCCGTCTTGATTTTCCACATTTTAAGCATAAACAGTTCACCGTAAAAAATGCCACGACTGTCCGAAGTTGACAGGGGTCGTGCCATTGCACTTCTAATGCAAGGTACCCCGAAAAACAGGTAGCTAATCAATTTGGAGTCCATCTAACGAACATTTGCCGTATCATCCAAAGACTACTCGACTGCGTGCCTTCGGTCTAAGACCTCGGCGGCCATATGTTGGACCACAGCTTAATGCGCGGCGACGTGTCAGACGAATGTAATGGCTGAACGCACATTCTGTAAGACGCTTCCCAATGCAACGTTGGAGAAGGGTCCTGTTCTCAGATGAGTTCAGGTTTTCGCTTTACCGGGCAGACGGTCGACGTCGTGTCTATGGACGTACCCACGAGCGCTATGCAGATGCTTTCGTGATAGAGAATGACCGCTTTGGAGGAGGATCGGTTATGGTATGGGGAGGGATTGCGCATGGTATCAAGACTCCTCTGGTCGTTATTCGGGGAAATATTACGGCCGTCCGCCATAGAGATCAAGTCCTAGCGCCGCATGTTGTTCCTCTAGTACAGCAGCGTCAACTGACGTTTCAGCAGGACAACGCCCAGCCGCATGTAGCGAAGGTTTGCCGTGGTTATCTCGCAGCAAACAATGTCCCCATCCTAGACTGGCCCCTGACCTCTCCCCAATAGAACAATATGGGACGAGTTGGACAGAAGTATAAGACGTAGGCCGAATCCTCCAGTCAACGTCGCTCAGTTAGCGTTGGCGCTGGATGAGGAATGGAATCGTATAACAATGAGGAGGGTTAATACCCTGAGCAATTCAATGCACAAAAGAGTTCGTGCAGTTACTGCAGCTCGCGGGGGGCACACACGATATCGATGGGTCCAGAACGCACTTCATTTTGAGTGGGGTACTCTTGAATCAACGTCAAATTTGAAAGGTTTACTTAACGTACACGAATGAAATTCTCGTTGAAGATAGAGTGGTCAACTATCTTCCAGTTACACCGTAATTAGGTATATATAGGTACTATATCAGAACAGTACAGGTGAATAATCTACCTGTATATAGGTACTATATCAGAACAGTACAGGTAAATAATCTACCTGTATATAGGTAGTATATCAGAACAGTACAGGTAAATAATCTACCTGTATATAGGTACTATATCAGAACAGTACAGGTGAATAATCTACCTGTATATAGGTAGTATATCAGAACAGTACAGGTGAATAATCTACCGGTATATAGGTACTATATCAGAACAGTACAGGTAAATAATCTACCTGTATATAGGTAGTATATCAGAACAGTACAGGTAAATAATCTACCTGTATATAGGTAGTATATCAGAACAGTACAGGTAAATAATCTACCGGTATATAGGTACTATATCAGAACAGTACATGTGAATAATCTACCGGTATATAGGTACTATATCAGAACAGTACAGGTGAATAATCTACCGGTATATAGGTACTATATCAGAACAGTACAGGTGAATAATCTACCGGTATATAGGTACTATATCAGAACCGACTATAATAACATTTCGATTGTGTTCCAGTGATTATGTATTCCTTTGTTCTTTAAGCGGCGCGAATCAGTGATAACGCCTTGTATCTTCTACTTAATGTAGGCGACCTGGGTTCACCATCAGTGAGAGAAAAGACATGAGTCACTTACCTATCGTAGTAAGACACGATTCCTGCAAGCTTACCACTTGTACATGAATAGTGACAAATAAAACAGAGACGATATGACTTGTATAAAAGTATCCATCGTGAAACTAAAAATATCCATCGTGAAACTAATTGACTTTATACACTACAATAGATAAATATTGACGGGTTTGTTTCCCTTATAATTTACATGTTTCCAACTGTTTCAGTCGGCATTTTGTGTAAAAGTATACTAGAACTTAAAGAAGTTTTATATATTTTTATAAAGGAAATATCTTTGACCTAATCATAAATGTTGCTAACTGTATGATATTTACATTTATAAACATGTGTGACGTATATATAAAGGGACAAGTTATCATGCTTACAGGTTCTGGATAATTATCTGTCTTAATGCAATTAACAAGTGTAATTATCACATAATTCGTGAGCAATGCCCACTGTAGTGTTTTTAAAGCCACGTGATACACGCCAGAAATAACAGCAGTACCATAACCCAAAGGCACGCCGTGAGTTTGACTATGATAGCCCCAGCAGAAATTGATGAATTCAATAAACGAAAAATGATTTACTCGTCTGTGATAATGTTTGAAACAATAAATGGAAGCCGCTTCATGTATTCATTTATAACAGGCCACAGGTCTACAGTGGCAGGCCATAGTCCAGAAAAAATGTCTGTAAACAAACTTAAAATCGTACAACCATACATGTGGGGATTTCCTCATTCCTCATACGTATAACGTTTTTTTAATTTTCAATGAACATAGATGCATGACTTTAAAGGAAGAACTGTAACATCGTCCTTATAACAATAAACTGCACTAACTTGTCAATTTTAACGCATTCTATTGTACATCCGTAAAAAATTGATACATGATGACAAAAATAGTGACCAGACGGACAAAAAAGGATGTCTCAAAGGGAATCAACTCATTTACTACATTTCTTTATTCAAATTTGTGCCGAGGTTTTATTTCACGTTATATGAGTTTCCATTCGTAGGAAAGTAAATTGATGAAACAAGTTTTAAGATTTTTTTTTTCATTTTACAAAGTGTTTGAAAAAGAAGAACGAAAAATCATTGATGAGATTTACCAATCCTATATGAAAAAGAAACGAATGTAAAAAAACTCTTTATCACATAAGTATGATATTTTTCAAACATTTGTGAAAATAGCATTTCATTTGACTGGTACATAATCTAAATTTCATTGGTGACGTCACAATGCATACGACTTTATAAAGCTAGGACGTCCTTATACATTGAGGTACATTCAGCCACACAAAGCTCCGCTAGGTCATATTACACGTGCCTCTGTTATAACAAAATCATGAATGGGGTGATATCACTCTGATAACAAGGTAGTTGTGTGTGTGTGATAAGTTTAATTTATAACCTGAAACGAGTATTTGAGTTTAAATGAAACATTTGAGAAAAGTGACATAAATTCCAAATGAAGTGAAAACGGACATCTGAATGATTCTTGAAGTCGGAAATCTGACCATTTTGACTGTTACATATCCAACGTTTCCGCTTCGACGTCACATGATATCACGATATGGATGACGTCATTTCATTGTCACGTGATAATAAACGAATTTTATATCTATGAGAAACAGTCACTAAATTACCACACAACTGCTTTATCGTTACGGATGATCAAATCAGAACAAAATATACATGTTTTATGACAAGATCAACCTCTCCAGATACTGTAAAACAAGGAAATGTAGATATAATGGCGTTCATACCGACATAAATGTTGATATTTTTCACATTCTTACATACAGGTTCCTTTTAAATGGTTTACTTCGTTCTATTAGCCAATCAGAAGCGACGTGACAAACAACACGACGACATTTTGATGGTATGGCATACCAGAAACGTGATGTATTTTGACTAACAACAATGCTTGTTTGAAACAGAATCGAAACATAATTAGTATTTGATTTGAAAGTAAAACCTTGTTTATAATTTTTATCATGTTTTGTTATGTATAGAAATAGTCTACAATGATTGACTTGTTTTTCGGGTATTACGATAATTCATAAACCCGAGAAGGGGATATTTCCTGAAAACAGGTAGATAATGGATTTAATTATATGACGACAATTCACGATGTTATTCACATCGCGTGCACGGATTCTGCCTGCTCGTTGTAGCATATCACAATATAGTTTAGGCTTTTAGAGGTATGTTGACAGTTGTATATTAATAACCCGCTTTGTGATTGGGGGGGGGGGAGAGAATTGCTAATTTCTTACGTCAAATCTAAATGTTTTCATTAACGTATGAATTCACTTGCTCGTGGTTATGTTTAAATGTAAGGAAAATGCCCGGCAACTGTAGATAGATGAAAAGATATGGCATGTTTATAATGACTGAGAAAATATCACGTCTAACATGTGATTTTATATACACACTTTTTAGTACCAGTAAATATAGTAGTGATTACATATAAAATTTATATAAATAATATCATATTATAAAAAAACACCTGATATCTAGGTACAAATGTATATATGTATATATAGGTAACAAGGTAGGTAATGTGAGATGCACGTGTTATACAGGTAAATACAATTATCACTAGTAACCATAAGACTACATTATCATTATACACGTGTAATACAGGTTCTGTATACTGGATATGGACTAACACGAATATTTCAATATACACCTGGTGATACGGTACACGTAGTAATTTATTTTAACTTCTGATTTACTGCAAGTACAGTAAATTGTCTAAACTAGTTTGGAGTATATCATTAATATAAATATTTGTCAGAATATTTATAGTATCTGTATATGGTGAATGACAGCTATATGAATTTTTTGTGTAAGTCACCTGTTATTTCTTATCATATAAACTCCATTTCGCCGGATAATATCAATCCGTAAACCAGTATATGATGTATGCGAATACATTTTTCTTATAAAATGAGACATAATCCTGATAACCAAAAAGCCTTCAATAGATGACAAATAACTTAAAAAACAATGTATAAACAATTCTACAGAACTTAAAAACAACCACTAAATCTGATAGATAGAGGTAGATACGTGGAGTAAAAAAGGAATGAGTATGTAATATATATATAAATAGACTGCCATTGTTACTGAGGTAACGGGTTAAATATATTGCATTGAAATTATATAAAACGTCATCATCATGGCCGCTGACGTTGAATCATGCCGAATCATTATGTGCTTTATCTTCTGGGTCGTTAAGGTGTTTGCCAAGGCTGTGAAAAGAATCATTGTCACTCAGTTGTCCACCATCTTCGTCATCGATGAACTTGAGATCCTCCAACAAGCTCTTGTTTTGTCGGGAGACTTTTTCTACGTTTGAGAGCGTGACACGTGATGCAACAGCGCCCTCTAAGAGTTCCACAGACATGAGGACGGGATGAAGAGACAACTGTTCCTGTAATTCTCGTAAGAAAGACTCGGCGCACAATCCTGAAAACAAGAAAGACAACTCCAATAACATGGTTCACGTGTTTGAATATTTCGTTGCATAATTATAGGTCACACAACAACATAGAAAAATGAATCTTTTTTTTTTCTCAAAATCTTGTACTTCTTACAAGTCGAGGAACTGATTCATTGCCCTCAGTTAAATATATTTCGTCTTGCATTATTGTGACCACAACACAGAGAATCTTTATACTTCAATGTACAGATGTACAGTCTGTATCAATGCAATCACTGCTATCAGAGTGGTCAGTGTACGTACCCGGCGATACATCATCCTCTAGAGCCACAGCCGCTGCGATAGCTCCCATCATAATATCCCCTAACAATTGGCGATGAACGTGCTGTAAACAGGACAAAATGTGTACATCAATCATATGGATTTGATTTTAAACAATATCTCCAAGTTTAAGACATATAAAAGGTTAAGATAAAAGCGGAATAAAAGAAAAACTGTCACGCTTTCGAACAAATATTCATGATTCAGAACCTCTCTTTAGATTTCCTTAATGTTAAGTGTAAGAAATGGCGAGAACGCAAAACATGACGAAACCTATTATTACATGCCAAAGCTCTTTCATTAGTCAAAACCTTGGATTATCGTTTTTAAAGGTTCACAGACACTACTGAATACCAAGTCGGTGGATTTAAACATTTTACATATTGATTTTAAAAAATGTGAAGAGTACCTCTTCACAAAGATAATTTATATCGGTATTTTTTTGTAGGTATCCAAATTTTGCGAATCTAGCAACCTTTTGAAAATCACAAAATATCAAAATGGAAAAATGTGTACCTGAGCACTTTCTGGAAGTGATTCCTTTTACAATACATTGTTTAAATAAATACCAGTCGGCATGTCAGTATCTTTATCTAATTTGACTGGTCAGTTAGGTATCCAGTTGATTTAAGAATCTACACTAATATCCATTCTGAAGCCTTTAAAAAGAGTCAAAATTTCTGAAACAATGAGATCTACTCTGATCCAGCTTTCGGCGGTAACTGTAGATTTTAATCGCTTCTATCGAAGTACAAATACCTGCTCCCTAGCCCGCTTCAGCAGGGTTATGACGGAGATGAGTTGGTCTTCCATCGATAACAGACGTCCACATTCTATCTCCACAGCCTCTAACTGAAATTGTGACGTCATCATGTGTTTTCGGCATGTCATCAGGTCCGACCGCAACCTCTCAATTTCCTGTTGACAATGAAATGAAGTCATGTTGTTAATTCGTCCTAAAATTCAGTCTTCACACACAAAAGGAAATAGGTCTTATCTAATTGTTCGATTGTGACAATTGTTATTTTCCCTGGTCGCCAGTTTTACAGTTTTGTATCTGGCCAACAGTTCATACACCCAGAACAAGATGGCTGTTCCCTGTTGTTATCACTTCGACTAAATCATATCATCTTTTTCTTTCCAGTGTCCCGTGAAATCGTTTCATGACCTGCCTGACTAGCTGATTATGGTATATACTATTGTTGCTTTGAAGCTTTTGAAGAGGAATCACACAACCTAATAGATCGAACTATCGCACAAATTTACACGTGTTTTTATTGTTGTATACTTAGTGACTGAAACCGTACGTAAAAAGCACCGCTCTCTGGCCAAGACATTTACATAGTATAAATCACGAAGCAATCAAGCGTCTGGGTGAGTGAGACTAAGTGTTACCAAACAATGTACCTACTTTTGATTGTTCGTTGTTAATTTCAGACAATGAGTTGACATCAGCTTGGAGTCTTCCTATAAACTGTTTGTCCGCGGACTGCAGCAGTGCAATGTCACTAGAGGGCGTAGCTGAGCGAGGTGTACCCGGAGGTGCAGAAGGACGGTCCGTCTGTTTTGCAGGTGTAGCCAGTGGTAATCCAGGGAGAGGTGATGCCCCATTGATTGCGTCGTCAAGTTGACGACTGATATCAGCACAGATTGACCCCTCTCCGTCACCTATCAATTAAAATACAGTGTAGATAACCTTGGAAGATGTACCCTCACTGATAATGCCCCACAAAGGAACAAGTATAACACACTGGAAATGTCCCAAAAGTGTACAATTAAGACCCACTGATAATGTCCCACAAGTGTATAAGTATGACTCACTGATAATGTCCTACAAGTGTACAAGTATGACTCACTGAAATTGTCCCACAAGTGTACAAATAATACAGATAATGTCCCACAAGTCTACAAATATGACTCACAGATAATGTCCCACAAGTGTACAAATATGACTCACAGATAATGTCCCACAAGTGTACAATTAATCATCACTGATATTGTCCCACAAGTGTACAAGTATGACTCACTGATAATGTCTCACAAGTGTACAAGTATGACTCACTGATAATGTCCCACAAGTGTACAAGTTTGATTCACTGATAATGTCCCACAAGTGTACAAGTAATCATCACTGATAATGTCCCACAAATGTACAAATATGACTCACAGATAATGTCCCACAAGTGTACAAGTATGACTCACAGATAATGTCCCACAAGTGTACAAATATGACTCACAGATAATGTCCCACAAGTGTACAAATATGACTCACAGATAATGTCACACAAGTCTTCAAGTATGACTCACTGATAATGTCCCACAGGTGTACAAGTATGACTCACTGATAATGTCCCACAAGTGTACAAGTATGACTCACTGATAATGTCCCACAAGTGTACAAGTATGACTCACTGATAATGTCCCACAAGTGTACAAGTATGACTCACTGATAATGTCTCACAAGTGTACAAGTATGACTCACTGATAATGTCCTACAAGTGTACAAATATGACTCACAGATAATGTCTCACAAGTCTACAAGTTTGACTCACTGATAGTGTCTCACAAATGTACAAGTTTGACTCACTGATAATGTCCCACAAGTGTACAAGTATGACTCTCGGACAATGTCCCACAAGTGTACAAGTTTGACTCACTGATAATGTCCCACAAGTGTACAAGTTTGACTCACTGATAATGTCCTACAAGTCTACAAGTATGACTCACAGATAATGTTCTCTACATACAGATACGACAACTGAAAATGTCTAACACACACATAAGTACGATTTCACAAACAGAAATCTGACTCGCTGTAAATGCCCAATACATACAAGTATACAATTTGACAATGAACATGTGCTACACACAATTACTACTCACTGACTTACCCCACATACGTACGATTCACTGAACTACAGGTTGAATATCCAGACATAAGTAGATACGACTCACTGAAAATGTCCCCCAAACATAAATAAGAGGCTTGGAAAATTGGAAAATGTTCGTGTTTAATACTGCACATTATTAGAGGACTCGATAGTTATAATTTAATAGTCAGATTATAGGAGAAAATAAGTATTACTTTTTTTTCAATGGAGCATATATACACCCACCCCTAGTGGACTCGGTCGCTACGGGCCGATCTTATGGCGCGAGCGGTTTGGATAGTATTTGATATTGCATCTACATTTGTAGTAGCCCCTGTCCAATACACACGTACGATTTACTGAAAATGACAAACATACACAGAAAAAATCTTAATACAAAGACTTGGAGTTCATTAAACTTCCATGCAGATAAAAAACACGCGTTTTAACAGGATGTGACGTCACTTAACAGATACGTATCGCTGTATGTCAGGAGAAGATAAATACATTTTACTTTCTTGATAAAAAGGAAATAAATACTAACTCCTACACGACGTGTTTTGAAGACGAGCAGAAAAAAAACTCCCTGTAAAAATCTGTGCTTCTTTGTCATGACATAGGAAATATGTCAGAAAAAAAATAAATGCATAGGTGGAATTTCTCAACCCGACCGGCAGGGATATATACATGTAATTTCTCAACCCGACCGGCAGGGATATATACATGTAATTTCTCAACCCGACCGGTAGGGTTATATACATGTAATTTCTCTCCACCGACCTTCTCATCCCGACCGACAGGACTGTATACCTTCCCATCCCGACCGACAAGGATGTATACCTTCTCATCCCGACCGACTGGAATGTATACCTCCTCATCCCGACCGACAGGGATGGATACCTTCTCATCCCGCCCGACAGGAATGTATACCTTCTCATCCCGACCGACAGGGATGTGTACCTTCTCATCCCGACCGACAGGGATATATACCTCCTCATCCCGACCGACAGGACTGTATACCTTCTCATCCCGACCGACAGGGATGTATACCTTCTCATCCCGACCGACAGGAATGTGTACCTTCTCATCCCGACCGACAGGGATGTATACCTTCTCATCCCGACCGACAGGAATGTGTACCTTCTCATCCCGACCGACAGGGATGTATACCTTCTCATCCCGACCGACAGGGATGTATCCCTCCTCATCCCGACCGACAGGACTGTATACCTTCTCATCCCGACCGACAGGGATATATACCTCCTCATCCGACCGACAGGACTGTATACCTTCTCATCCCGACCGACAGGGATGTATACCTACTCATCCCGACCGACAGGAATGTGTACCTTCTCATCCCGACCGACAGGGATGTATACCTTCTCATCCCGACCGACAGGGATGTATCCCTCCTCATCCCGACCGACAGGACTGTATACCTTCTCATCCCGACCGACAGGAATGTATACCTTCTCATCCCGACCGACAGGACAGTATACCTTCTCATCCCGACCGACAGGACTGTATACCTCCTCATCCCGACCGACAGGAATATATTCCTTCTCATCCCGACCGACAGGACTGTATACCTTCTCATCCCGACCGACAGGGATGTATACCTTCTCATCCCGACCGACAGGGATGTAAACCTTTTCATCCCGACCGACAGGACTGTATACCTCCTCATCCCGACCGACAGGAATATATACCTTCTCATCCCGACCGACAGGAATGTACACCTCCTCATCCCGACCGACAGGACTGTATACCTTCTCATCCCGACCGACAGGACTGTATACTTTCTCATCCCGACAGACAGGAATGTATACCTTCTCACCCCGACCGACAGGACTGTATACCTTCTCATCCCGACCGACAGGGATGTGTACCTTCTCATCCCGACCGACAGGGATGTATACCTTCTCATCCCGACCGACAGGAATGTATACCTTCTCATCCCGACCGACAGGAATGTATACCTTCTCATCCCGACCGACAGGAGGGATGTATACCTTCTCATCCCGACCGACAGGAATGTATACCTTCTCATCCCGACCGACAGGAATGTATACCTCCTCATCCCGACCGACAGGAGTGTATACCTTCTCATCCCGACCGACAGGAATGTGTACCTTCTCATCCCGACCGACAGGGATATATACCTTCTCATCCCGACCGACAGGAATGTATACCTTCTCATCCCGACCGACAGGAATGTATACCTTCTCATCCCGACCGACAGGAATGTATACCTTCTCATCCCGACCGACAGGACTGTATACCTTCTAATCCCGACCGACAGGACTGTATACCTTCTCATCCCGACCGACAGGACTGTATACCTTCTCATCCCGACCGACAGGAATGTATACCTCCTCATCCCGACCGACAGGACTGTATACCTTCTCATCCCGACCGACAGGACTGTATACCTTCTCATCCCGACCGACAGGACTGTATACTTTCTCATCCCGACCGACAGGAATGTATACCTTCTCATCCCGACCGACAGGAATGTACACCTCCTCATCCCGACCGACAGGACTGTATACCTTCTCATCCCGACCGACAGGACTGTATACTTTCTCATCCCGACAGACAGGAATGTATACCTTCTCATCCCGACCGACAGGGATGTATCCCTTCTCATCCCGACCGACAGGACTGTATACTTTCTCATCCCGACAGACAGGACTGTATACCTTCTCATCCCGACCGACAGGACTGTATACCTTCTCATCCCGACCGACAGGAATGTATACCTTCTCATCCCGACCGACAGGACTGTATACCTTCTCATCCCGACCGACAGGGATGTGTACCTTCTCATCCCGACCGACAGGGATGTATACCTTCTCATCCCGACCGACAGGGATGTATACCTCCTCATCCTGACCGACAGGAATGTATACCTTCTCATCCCGACCGACAGGGATGTATCCCTCCTCATCCCGACCGACAGGAATGTATACCTTCTCATCCCGACCGACAGGACTGTATACCTTCTCATCCCGACCGACTGGGATGTATACCTTCTCATCCCGACCGACAGGAGTGTATACCTTCTCATCCCGACCGACAGGAGTGTATACCTTCTCATCCCGACAGTTCATTGTATCGATTGTTATGTCATTAGTTTACGTAAGAACATCGGGCCATTTTCTCACAATCCGTATGACGTTAGTCGTTACTTTAAATTACATATGACTCACCAATCAATACCTGTTCAAAAGAGCAGATAACTCTGCATTACGACGTGGAATTTTAACCTTTTTCATAACTTCTTAACCCGAACAGGATCCAGAAATACATCCCTGATACTTACCTTCGTATCCCGGTCCCAGGGATACATTTTCAGACTCAGACAGGGTGTTAAATCCCGACGATACGCTGGACACCTCCGATTTATCTCCCTTGCCATTTCTAAATAGATACAATAATCTCCTTTATTGTAAAATCGTATAAATGTTGTCGGAGTATACAAATTAATACTAAAATTTCATGTGACGACAGTTTGACATACCTGATGTTTGACACTCATTGATAATTGCGACAATTATATAATACATATTCTATTCTCTATCTTTTAGGGATTTACCCATGTTAAACATAAATAGATATCATCAAGGCATTACACTGAACAGGTGACTACACTAATGACGTCATGAGGTTTCGTGATCGGGTTTCTATTTTGTTAGACGAGAGGTTTTCTTAATTCAAGTTTGATTTTCGGCTTGATCATGAATATGAAACGTCAACATCGATCAGAAGGTTTTTGAGAGTGGATGTCTCCACGTCTTTCCTGAGATCATCACTTTCAGATTGTGTGTTTATTACACTATAATATACTGTCTACTTAATTATACCAATTACAATGATATGAAGGTTGTATAAAAGTTTTGTTAAAGGAAGTTTAGAAATCATCAGGAATCGATACTTCTGTATATCGAATGTAGATAAAATGTTATTTCGGTCTCAAGGCCTCGGCCATGCGTCGCCTCTAAAATTGTTTTTCAGGTGTACAGGTATAGTATGTGATTATTAGGGTACTCAATACAACAATTCAGAATTATATAAATACGACACATGAGTTATATGCAGATTTCATAATAGTAAACACTCTCCGGTATTTTCCGATTTCCAAAACCAGGGAAATTCTTATCACCACAAAATTGTTAAATACTTAAGCTCTGTAAAATGCCATTTGAGTAAAGTCATATCCACTGTGACGTTATTGATTATGACGTACAATGTATAAACAAATGATGACGTACATACCTTAGTATGACCTCATCATCGCTGTAGTTGCCAGAAAGCTTTCCGAGTTTCTCCAAGTCCTTGACCTTTGTCAGACAGCGCTTGAGGTTGCCTTTAATACGTTCGTACACCTGAAGCATGTCATCCAGACGACCTTCCAGTCCAGCGTTCGTTTCCTGCAAGGCACATACCTCCTGGTCAGACTCAAACAGGTCGTCCTGTAGTTTAGTATTCAGTGTGAGAAGGTCGCGCACTTCCTTTTCGCGTACATCTTGTACATGACGAAGTTCTTTGGCCATCATCTGTAAAGAACGACTTTCGTCGCGGTCTTTATCATAATACATATCCCAGGGACACGATATCCGCTTCAGACTCGAACCCTTGGCCAATTCTCCGCGCTCCTCGTTGTATACGTCCTGGAGCGCGGCTCGTCGTGCGATATGCATGGACTCGCGTGTGAGCTGATCACGCTCTTGTCGTTCACGGTAAAAGGACGAAACGACATCACTTCGCCTAGACGACAGTCGCCGACTTTCGTCCGAAGTTGAACTCCGCCGGACACCAATATACGCCGCGCGTCGCATGAAGCCGTCGGTAGCTCCAGAGGTCGGCTCGGTTGACTTCTCGAATGTTATTCCTTGTATAATACTCTTGATGTCATTAGCGAGATAGCGAAGGTCATGCTGTTTGTCGTTCTTGGACACCCATGAGGCAGTCTTTCTTTGTCGAGAAACTTTTACTTGTTTTTTACCAGATTGGGGCGTGAGAGCTAGCGTCCGTGGTCTGGGTGGTTTTCTATCCATATTGTAACAGTGTAAATAGTCCGGTTAATAACAGTTAACAGGTGTCCGCCCTTATCAGTGTAATGCCCAGTCTCTAAACACTAAATCATCCCGAAATCGAAGTAGATATATCCACAAACGAATATTTCCCCGACACTAGTACAATACATATCTGTTCTCAAAATGATTGGACATCGCCAGAGAAGAAATCGCCACCATTACACATGGGTCCGGACCGTTCGACCACTGCCGCACAAATACTGTAGTAGTAAACAGTGACGCCAACATTTCCGTTCACACTTTTTAGAGATAAGGCTGGGGTGTGTAGAGATGGTGTTACACAAGTATTCCAGCCTCAGTAGCCGTGTTTACGTCCGCCTACCATCACTGTTTACTATACATATCACTGTTTCGGAGGGTTAGGGTAAATTTCTACTCAACAGGACCCGACTTAAACCGCTCGTATATATACTAAGGTTTTAATCAAAGACAAACTATCAAATCTTAAAACTCTACAGACCCGAGTGTGTACCCCCCGGGGATGGGAGAGATAAGGGAGGGTGCTCGCGGCCGCCGAGTCGATACATGTATATTATGAGTCATTGGCAACGCATATAGGTAATGTACATGTATATATAGTAGTCGCTCTCACGACTTGACATCAAATGCTATATTTATACGATACAATTTTAATATTCTGAGGATTTACAGAGGGATATATGCTGACATGGTCGGCATTAAAATAAAGCTATTTCATCTTATTCCGGAGATGGATGTTCCCCGATAAACACAAATATGATAGTTATTCATAGTAGGCGAGCAAATTATTATTACTAACACTTCACAGTATTGAATGTCAGAACTACGTTGCCATTTTAAACATAGATATGTTGGAATGGACAAACCTACACATGTACATACTCACGTGCTTTTAATTAAAATCAGCAACGTTTTCTAAACACGCAGACGGACACGCGCACCTGCAACATTTAATTAGACAGTAGATAGATATTTCCGGTGGTAACATGCAGCCAAATATTTAATACTGGTCAGAGTATTCTTTAATTCTTCTTCTCGCCTATTCGTACAGTTCAGTGGCAAGGATAATTTTTACGGGATGAAATGTTTGCTTGTTGCTTAACAGTATGTAACACAGAGCGCCGTGATAAGTACATCCAGAGCTAATCACGTAAATAAATCTTTGTCTTTTACAGTGCTAAATACACCCACAGCTGATCACGTAAATTAATCTATGTCTTTTAACGTGCTAAGTACACCCAGAGCTGATCACATACATTAATCTATGTCTTTTACCTTGCTATGTAAACCCAGAGCTGATCACGTAAATTAACCTGTCTTTTACCGTGTAAAGTACACCCAGAGCTGATCACGTGAATTAATCTATGTCTTTTACGGTGTTAAGTACACCCACATCTGATCACGTAAATTAATCTATGTCTTTTACCGTGTTAAGTACACCCAGAGCTGATCACGTGAATTAATCTATGTCTTTTACCGTGCTTAGTACACCCAGAGCTGATCACGTAAATTAATTGATGTCTTACCGTGCTTAGTACACACCAGAACTGATCACGTAAATTAATCTATGTCTTTTACGGTGTTAAGTACACCCACATCTGATCACGTAAATTAATCTATGTCTTTTACCGTGTTAAGTACACCCAGAGCTGATCACGTGAATTAATCTATGTCTTTTACCGTGCTTAGTACACCCAGAGCTGATCACGTAAATTAATTGATGTCTTACCGTGCTTAGTACACACCAGAGCTGATCACGTGAATTAATCTATGTCTGTTACCGTGCTTAATACACCCAGAGCTGATCACGTAAATTAATCTTTGTCTTTTATCGTGCTAAGTACACCCAGAACTGATCACGTAAATTAACCTATGTCTTTTATCGTGCTAAATACACCCAGAGCTGATCACGTAAATTAATCTTTGTCTTTTACCGTGCTAAGTACACCCAGAACTGATCACGTAAATTAACCTATGTCTTTTACCATGCTAAGTACACCCAGAACTGATCACGTAAATTAATTTATGTGTTTTATCTAAGTATAATACTTCATATGTAAGAATTGTTAAAACGATATTTGTTATATTCTCCTGCTGACGTAAGTTCAGGACATCTGTAATGAGGATATATTCCAACTTTGTTGTTAAGCTTTCTGATTGTGTTCCGACGAGTAGAACATTCATAATTGAAATAAAATTGCCGTAAGGAATCAATTTCCGTTTATTGATGATTTTGTTTAACATAATTTCGTCGTTGTGAATACTGTAATAATATTTTACATGAAATGGTAGTACTTCCGCTAAAGCTACTTCTCTGTACGTTTATATGACCACATTGCCTTCTACCCTACAAAATGATGCACGTGTTTCACCCAATACTGTACATCAATCACACGTGCCTACGTACATATAGATGTACACTTAATTTTACTCGTGTCCTGTACGATAAGTACACATCTGTACACACAATGTATATAATACCTACATATTGTACAATAACCTACATTTCCAGTGAGTAACTTATACATTATTCACATATTCTGTACGCACATTTAATATGCCTTAGTATTCGTGTTATGTACAAATGTATAACTTACACACGCTGTTATGGAGTAGACAGTTGATATAATTTTGAAGTCCTGCGGATGCAGGATTCACCAGTTTGTGTTGAATATTACTTTGTTCCTCAGAGTTTACAGATGTATTCGCGATAAGACGAGCCCCTACCCCACTGGGAACCAATGTACTGCTGCCAAGTTCGACATATCATCTTTTTTGAAGATTTGAAATGATCTGAATGTGATAAAACTTGTTTTGAATGCACGCTACATTTAAGCTATAAATAGGGTCGGATATCTTAAGAACGAATGAGGTCTAGTGTGTAACACAGGTGTCTATGATATGTAAAATATTACCGAGTTATCATATGTAATGCAACATTATGTCCGTGTGTCAATGGCTTCTTCTACTGTATGTACATCACGTGATAACAAGTTACTTCTGAAAAAACCTTTGATATAAAAATGTGGAGATTTTTGCAATGGCAGCCGCCGATTATATTAGTTATTTATAACATAACAACGTCCCGTTTTTAACCTCTGTAGATATAAGCCATCACAAGCAAGACAGGGTCTGAAATCTTTTTCGTTGGCGGTAGATATCCTGATTTATATATATCATACATACATAGATCATTCCACTGCGAGACTGAATTAAATTGAAAAAGGGAAATCTGTTTTACTTCTTCTAGCAGTGATTGAAAACGCAGCTTTTGGATAAGTTCACTGGGAATATACCTCTGCGACCCCAAGATTCGGTGTATGCGTAGGCTGAACATACAACCCCGATATCCACAGTTCGCCGCGGAATGATTCAAAGTCCCTAAGCTTCACACATCGCCGCAGAGGAAATCACAATAATTTCTTGTTGTCCCGAACTCCGCGGTCTGTCACGACCTGGATATCGGTATCCCTCCAAGAATCGAACCAGTTATCCACAGTTTCGCAGTCCGACGATAATCCAATCCGCAATCCTTGGTTTCGCAATATGAATATGCCATGAATCGAATTCACAACCCCAACCGTCACACCAAATTAACATTTTGCCGAGAATCGAACCCGCTGCCCCGAGCTCTGTAATCCACTGTTCGGAATCGAACCCGCAGTCCACGGGGTTCACAGTCCACTGGAAATCGAAGTATTGACCTTCACCTTTCCACTCAATCGTTGATCGATACGTGTATCCGACAATAGTGTACATTGTAATATACATGTTACCTGCGATTTCCAATATGGCAAACACTGTGTACACTATAGTGTTTCTTTTCGTTGGTAGTCGACTATACTGAGAATGTAGCGTATTCTACCTTACAATACAATTTATTATCTACTACTACCTCCCCCAAAACATTGGATTTTACAATTCAGCGCATCTAAAATTACAGTGTATCATCTTGGCTGGATTTCTGATAATTAGTGACTTGGTGAGACGGAGCAGGTACAGGTGTTAAAAATTAAAAATCGTACTTTGGGTTTTTTCACCCTTTTCCTGAAATGCTCCTTTTTATGTCCTTGACCTTACTTGGCAGTACCACCTTTCGGACTTTGTGATGAATGTCTGCCCCTGTATTGGGTCATGACATTGTCTGTATAGCTTGTGTCTTATCTCACAAAACAAGATAGGACGCCGTTGTCTTGTTCTTTTAATTATGCCATTTCAGTTTTGAGTAATCTCATTATTCACGGGCACTCTCTCCATACAGTAAGTACAAAAGACCTTTATGACAGTCATGAGAACATATAGGATGTGACGATAGCGTGTTACGACTTTTCCATCACTATCATGAGGTGACCTAGATATTTTTATATAGTTGGTTAAAGATGTACATCGTATATAAATCAGGTTACTGCGCACTTAATGATACATCATGTAGTATATTAAAATATTGATATATTACAGATTTACATAATTTACATTTATGTTTATGATTATTGTGCTTGTAGTTAAGCTAATACATTAATCGTCAGTAAGAAAATTTGATTGACCAATCTTCTAAAGTGATATCACTTTGTGGAACACATGTGTGTCGTAGAAAATGTTTAGTGAATGTCGTATTAGATGTTTAAGTGTATGTCGTGGTAGACGTTCAGTGTCTGTAGTGGTAGACGTTTAGTGTATGTCGTGGTAGATGTTTAAAATATGTCGTGGTAGATGTTTAATGTATGTCGTGGTAGATGTTTAGTGTATGTCGTGGTAGATGTTTAGTATATGTCGTGGTAGATGTTCAGTGTATGTCGTGGTAGATGTTTAGTATATGTCATGGTAGATGTTTAGTGTGTGTCGTGGTAGATGTTTAGTGTATGTCGTGGTAGAAAATTAGTATAGGTCATGGTAGATGTTTAGTGTATGTCGTGGTAGATGTTTAGTGTGTGTCGTGGTAGATGTTTAGTGTGTGTCGTGGTAGACGTTTAGTGTATGTCGTGGTAGATGTTTAGTGTGTGTCGTGGTAGATGTTTAGTGTGTGTCGTGGTAGACGTTTAGTGTATGTCGTGGTAGATGTTTAGTATATATCGTGGTAGATGTTAAGTCTGTGTCATGGTAGATGTTTAGTGCATGTCGTGATAGATGTTAAGTGTATATCGTGGTAGATGTTAAGTGTGTGTCGTGGTAGATGTTTAGTATATATCGTGGTAGATGTTTAAGTGTGTGTCGTGGTAGATGTTTAGTATATATTGTGGTATATGGTTAAGTGTGTGTCGTGGTAGATGTTTAGTGTATGTCGTGGTAGATGTTAAGTGTGTGTCGTGGTAGATGTTTAGTATATATCGTGGTAGATGTTTAGTGTATGTCGTGGTAGATGTTTAGTGTATGTCGTGGTAGATGTTTAGTGTATGTCGTGGTAGATGTTTAGTGTGTGTCGTGGTAGATGTTTAGTATATGTCGTGGTAGATGTTTAGTGTGTGTCGTGGTAGATGTTTAGTGTATGTCGTGGTAGATGTTTAGTGTATGTCGTGGGAGATGTTTAGGGTATATCGTGGTAGATGTTAAGTGTGTGTCGTGGTAGATGTTAGTGTGTGTCGTGGTAGATGTTTAGTATATATCGTGGTAGATGTTAAGTGTGTGTCATGGTAGATGTTTAGTGTGTGTCGTGATAGATGTTTAGTGTATATCGTGGTATATGTTAAGTGTGTGTCGTGGTAGATGTTTAGTATATATCGTGGTAGATGTTTAAGTGTATGTCGTGATAGATGTTTAGTGTATATCGTGGGAGATGTTTAGTGTATGTCGTGGTAGATGTTAAGTGTATGTCGTGGAAGATATTAATTTTGTGTCGTGGTAGATGTTTAGTGCATGTCGTGGTAGATGTTAATTTTGTGTCGTGGTAGATGTTTAGTGCATGTCGTGGTAGATGTTTAGTGTATGTCGTGGTAGATGTTTAGTGTATGTCGTGATAGATGTTAAGTGTATATCGTAGAAGATGTTAAGTGTGTGTCGTGGTAGATGTTTAGTATATATCGTGGTAGACGTTTAAGTGTGTGTTGTGGTAGATGTTAAGTTTATGTCGTGGTAGATGTTTAGTGTGTGTCGTGGTAGATGCTTAGTATATGTAGTGGTAGATGTTAAGTGTATGTCGTGGTAGATGTTAATTTTGTGTCGTGGTAGATGTTTAGTGCATGTCGTGGTAGATGTTAATTTTGTGTCGTGGTAGATGTTTAGTGCATGTCGTGGTAGATGTTTAGTGTATGTCGTGGTAGATGTTTAGTATATGTCGTGGTAGATGTTTAGTGTGTGTCGTGGTAGACGTTTAGTGTATGTCGTGGTAGATGTTTAGTATATGTCGTGGTAGATGTTTAGTGTATGTCGTTTTAGAAAATTAGTATATGTCGTGGTAGATGTTTAGTGTATGTCGTGGTAGATGTTTAGTGTATGTCGTGGTAGATGTTTAGTGTGTGTCGTGGTAGATGTTTAGTGTGTGTCGTGGTAGATGTTCAGTGTATGTCGTGGTAGATGTTTAGTATATATCGTGGTAGATGTTTAGTGTGTGTCGTGGTAGATGTTTAGTATATGTCGTGGTAGATGTTTAGTGTATGTCGTGGTAGATGTTTAGTGTATGTCGTGGTAGATGTTTAGTGTATGTCGTGGTAGATGTTTAGTGTATGTCGTGGTAGATGTTTAGTGTATGTCGTGGTAGATGTTTAGTATATATCGTGGTAGATGTTTAGTGTGTGTCGTGGTAGATGTTTAGTGTATGTCGTGGTAGATGTTTAGTGTATGTCGTGGTAGATGTTTAGTGTATGTCGTGGTAGATGTTTAGTGTATGTCGTGGTAGATGTTTAGTATATGTCGTGGTAGATGTTTAGTGTATGTCGTGGTAGATGTTTAGTGTATGTCGTGGTAGATGTTTAGTATATGTCGTGGTAGATGTTTAGTGTATGTCGTGGTAGATGTTTAGTGTGTGTCGTGGTAGATGTTTAGTGTATGTCGTGGTAGATGTTTAGTGTATGTCGTGGTAGATGTTTAGTATATGTCGTGGTAGATGTTTAGTGTATGTCGTGGTAGATGTTTAGTGTATGTCGTGGTAGATGTTTAGTGTATGTCGTGGTAGATGTTTAGTGTATGTCGTGGGAGATGTTTAGGGTATATCGTGGTTATTGTTTAGTGTATGTCGTGGTAGATGTTTAGTGTATGTCGTGGTAGATGTTTAGTGTATGTCGTGGTAGATGTTTAGTGTATGTCGTGGTAGATGTTTAGTGTATGTCGTGATAGATGTTTAGTATGTGTCGTGGTAGATGTTAAGTGTGTGTCGTGGTAGATATTTAGTGTATGTCGTGGTAGATGTTCAGTGTATGTCGTGGTAGATGTTTAGTATATGTCGTGGTAGATGTTTAGTGTATGTCGTGGTAGATGTTTAGTGTATGTCGTGGTAGATGTTAAGTGTATGTCGTGGTAGATATTAAGTGTATGTCGTGGTAGATATTAAGTGTATGTCGTGGTAGATATTAAGTGTATGTCGTGGTAGATATTAAGTGTATGTCGTGGTAGATATTAAGTGTATGTCGTGGTAGATGTTTAGTGTATGTCGTGGTAGATGTTTAGTGTGTGTCGTGGTAGATGTTTAGTGTATGTCGTGGTAGATGTTTAGTGTATGTCGTGGTAGATGTTTAGTGTATGTCGTGGTAGATGTTTAGTGTATGTCGTGGTAGATGTTTAGTGTGTGTCGTGGTAGATGTTAAGTGTTTTTTGTAATAAATGTTTGGTGTATTGTATGGTATATATTAAGTGAATGTCATTGTATATGCTCAGTAACTGTTGGAATATTGTGGTAAATGTTTAGCCTATATTGTGGTATATATGTTGTGTATACTGTGATGTAGGTTGTGTATTTTGTAGTTCTGTATTTGAATGATTCATTTAATACATGTTTTTGTGCATGCTGTGTTCAAAGAATTTGAAGAGAAAAAAAGTTGAAAATCACAAATTAATTTATTTACGAAATCACTGGAATATTTTCCGAAAGAATACAACATTGATTTACATTATACATACAGACAATAAATTATGGGATGACGCATTCATCGCGTCACGTAGTGGTGAAACCATGTTATAGTGATGTATGCTCGGTTATATGTTATCTCCTACCCTGAACACATGTTCTGTACATTACTACTACCCTTCTAGACCGTGTTGTCTGACATGGTTTTCTTTCTCTCCGCTGGGCTTTGCTTCAAAAGTACAATTTAAACTAGACTCGGTTGCCTGTCGTAGTTTTTCTGTTCTCCTTGATACTTCCCTTCGAAAATACAACGACAAGTCAGGGTTAGCGTTCGTTTTGATTGGCTGATATGAAACATGGGTTTTCCTTTCCGAGATGGCTATTTTTGGGACTTTCCGCGGTAAAATATCGAATGATCACGTCAGTGTAGACACTTATATATTCTACAGTACTATACAACATTACTGGTACATGGTGATTACTTTCTAATTGTTAACAACTCTCCGTATGACACAGGTTGTTACTGTAGGGAATTCCGAGCCTAAAACCCAACCACGGATTCGTTACCTGCACTGATTAGTCAAAGTTTGACCAAGATGTAGGCCCTGATCTGTCTAAGTTACAACAAGCGCAGTCTAGCGGAGAAAAGACGTCACTAAGGCAGGTAATCCAGTCTTATTTTCAATGAGCGCTGTGTAGCGGACAAAAAGCTGTCAGGTAACAAAAGTTTGACAAGTTTCCGATACTCGAACAGCACAAACTATGGCCGGTACACGTACATATTGATTTGTAAGCCCTGTCAATGATGATTACAAGTATTGAAAAACGTTCATTGCATGTATCTGATGAATGTTGATGACAAATCTTGTTAAATGATGACATATGCCCGGTAAATATACATGCAGATGTCATATGTACGTAATAAATATATGTACACGTTTGTATTATTTTGCTTGACACGTGTATTTCCGTTAGGAGACCGGTCAGAAGCATCACCTCTCGCAAGGGAGGGAGGGGGAAGACAGATATGGGCGGGCATATCGTTCAAGCCAAAAAGGGTGTGGCATGTAATCAAAATCTAGTGATTCGAATAACTGAATGTTTACCTACAGGGGCGGAGCACTGAATGTTTACCTACAGGGGCGGAGCACTGAATGTTTACCTATAGGGGCGGAGTACTGAATGTTTACCTACAGGGGCGGAGCACTGAATGTTTACCTACAGGGGCGGAGCACTGAATGTTTACCTACAGTGGGCGGAGTACTGAATGTTTACCTACAGGGGCGGAGTACTGAATGTTTACCTACAGGGGCGGAGTACTGAATGTTTACCTACAGGGGCGGAGCACTGAATGTTTACCTACAGTGGGCGGAGTACTGAATGTTTACCTACAGTGGGCGGAGCACTGAATATTTATGTACAGGGGCGGAGTACTGAATGTTTACCTACACGGGCGGAGTACTGAATGTTTGCCTATAGGGCGGAGCACTGAATGTTTACCTACAGGGGCGGAGCACTGAATGTTTACCTTTAGGGGCGGAGCACTGAATGTTTACCTACAGTGGGCGGAGTACCGAGTGTTTACCTACAGAGGCGGAGTACTGAATGTTTACCTACAGTGGGCGGAGTACCGAGTGTTTACCTACAGTGGGCGGAGCACTGAATGTTTACCTACAGGGGCGGAGCACTGAATGTTTACCTACAGGACGGATCCGTACACGTACATACGGGGGCGGAGTACTGAACACAATCCCAGCGATCTGTATATGTGTTAGTAGGATCATATGCAGCTGCTTAAACAGAGGACGCGATGATAACGGATTCTGCATCTTCTTATTTATGATCACGAGAAATTCCATTAGAATACTTTTTTTAACCAAACCTAAGTGCACTTGTACTTTCATGTTTTTTTTATATCAAAATCCACAAAACTAGGAAACCAAACAAGAGAAGTCACCAAATATATGGCTTCATTAGAAAGTTCATTCAAGTTCCATGATTATCAAGCCGGCCAAATCATATAAGACACAAAGGGCAGTAACTCTTTCAAAAATAGAATCAAATGGCTACATTACAAACGAAAATCACGTTTGTCTGACATTTAGACATTAAACAAACGACAAGAACCTTTAAAATGTATCAGAATATTCTTAAAGGCACACAAAATGGCAAAGAGATCGGAGAAAAACAGAGGGAAAAAAGGGTAAATGGTGAAAAAGTCCCATCAGTAATATTCTGAAAATAAATGTTACGTATCCTCATTATAAATCCTTCCCAGCTTAAAGAGATGATAATAATTAGGTAGAAATCAGAAGGCGATCTGTAAATGCCAGTAAGTAAACGGACGGACGGACAATGCCATATGATAATCGGTCTCGTCAACATTTTAAATAGATAACAAATAGATACAAAGATTTAAAACGATTCTTCCTACGAGTCATAACAGTGAATGCTACAGTTTGCAAGAGGCAAACAATTTACATTTTGACAATCTGTGTTGTAGATAAGCACAAACTTCAATGGCACTTAATATCTTCGTTTTTCCACCGCACATATGAAAAAATGTTATTTTACAATATCGATCATTTTTTATTCTTCTATATTTATACATGTACCAATAGCACATTGACACGTTGGAATATAATGAGGGATTAATCTACCATATAGGTATACACTGTAAAGACACAATCTAACAAAAACCGACGGGAAAATGATGCGTGGAATTTGTATCATATAAATCATATATGTAATCTTAGAAACAAAACGGATTTCTAATAAATAGTATTAAATAAAAAATGTTTTTACAACAGATAGATGAAATCAAGGATCGCGGAAACCTAAATATATATGACTAGAAGTGGATTTGCAGACCGTTTAAGCCCCAATATACGTAACATTCACCAAAAATTTAGTGTAGAATCACAAATAATTATTGAGATATTCTGTAAGATGTAGTTAGAATTAAGTTATTTAAACAATAGTTACCATTACTTTGTGCATAAAGTATTGATATATGAGCAGTTGAAACTCGCTATTTGTAAACACACCTCCATTTTAAACACGCCGCCATCGAAATTACGATTGTTGCCGAACCACGTCGGAAAGTTCATGACCTGATCTCGCGAGAGTTGATGTTTCTTCTTAAAGAGGAAGCACATGCAGATATGTCTACGGTAAGATTTTGTTTACAAACATTGTTTGCGAAGTCTTGTCGTAGACTTGAGGTATTCCTGTGATAAACATTCAGTTTTTGGGAAATTATTAGAAGGAATAATTAGTTTAGAAACATTACGACGCACAATTATAACGTAAAAATTCAGAACTGGCCTGATGTATGATTGAAAAAAAGGAAGCGGCTGGTGAACGTCTGTTCTGTGTCTGCCATGTTTACACACGCGGAATATGCGCATGCGCAATGTCATCGCTGCGAGCGGTAATGTATGTTTTCCGATTTTTTCAATTTTTATCTAAATTGAAAACAGTCATTTTTATTTTCTTTAATTAAAGGAAAGTATTTGTTTTGTTACATATATTACGGGGAAAATAAGATAAAGTTTGTTTTTTGTAGTGATTTTTACGTATATTGGGCTTTAAGAAATCGTCTAATAGCCGTATAAATCTGTGATTATAAATAAATGTAGAACTCAACACACGGCATTTACAATAAATAATCCCTTTCATCTCATCATTCACTCACAATATGTACAGTTTTTTTACATTTATTGCTGGATCATGACAAACTTGTGCCTATTTAGGTGGCCCAGTGTACCACTTCCGGTCCGGCGTGGAGGACAGTCAGATGACATTTCAATTGATAATGAATTAATGATCTGATCCTTTCCTGTCCATAGTTCTCGGTCGCTATTTCACGACATCATATCACAAACAGAATCATAACCCACATATAATTCCGACCTCAACGGCCTTGTGCAATACCGGCTATTTTAAAAAAAGGGAGATAACTCGCCATCATTATATGAAATACTGTTTTGATTGGTATTGCTGGAGATTTGGCCTCGGGGGAAGTGGGGGAGGAAGAGGCGAAGGGCCCGCCATATTTGGTAATTCAACATCTGCATCATATGAGTGCATATCCGGTCTTAGTGTATGTGGCATGTCCTCGCGGAATACTACTTCCTTTGTCGGTGAAAGACGATGAGACTGTGAGGGTACATACGTATACCCCTTCATTTCCGTCGGCTTCGGATTTAGTTCTGGTAACTTTGTGTATCTATAAAAAAATATAAAGCAAACGCTAAAACCAGCAGGCATAAAAAGAATTATAATTATAAAAACTTCACATACATAATTACGATACGATTTTTTCATCGTTAACCAATTATGTGTGTTTATTAGTTGTTGTTGTTGTAGATCCAGCTGGAAATTTCACCATTTATGTATTGTTTTTGTTAGACTTTATGTTGAATAACTAACCGGGAGTCCAGCCATTGGTCATGCGAGGGTGTGTACCCCTGACTATGTAGCTCTGACGACGGTAAGGTCATGGGATGCATGGTGTACCAGGGTTGAGTCTGACCCTCCCGAGGTTGACCATCACTATGGTAACGGTCCATAGGAATCCTCGTATTGGCTATAACTCCTGCAAGAGGAAAAACGAGATTTGATCATTCTTAGAGTTGTTTCCCTTGCGTAGCAGTTTTCTCAATGTCTGCTTATTTAAAATCATCAATCAACGATGTCGAAGATGACAGTTTGGTCACTATAGAAGTTAAGAGTGGAAAAAAGACATGGGTTTTGAAAGATGGACATGGCATTTATTTCAACTAGTAAAAACGGTTTGTTTCTTTTTTGGCTTCAGTGGTTGTGATATGTATTACCTCACATTTTGTTCTGATATAATGTACAGACCCATGGATGCGGTACGGAGGGACAGGTGCTATCTTACCTGGGGGTTTCTTATGATTTGACCGGGTAGAGCTTGACCCCCTACTGGAGGTGCCCGGGGGTGGGGATGAAGAGCTGGAGCGTGGGTTCCTACGTTTCCAGCAGGAGTAGGTGAGGTAGCACAGTACAAACATGATTGACACCGTGGAGATGAGGGAGCCGGCGATGATAACCGTGTCTCTCCTACGTTTCTCCTCTTCTCGAACTTTTTCCTCATACGTCTTACCGGGCGGGGAAGGCGTCGGTTTCCCCTTACCTGGAGACAAGTGAAAAGTTATTCTGAGATTGATAACAGAAGATAGAGATTGTATGATTAATTAATTATGATTAATTTAGGATTTCTTCACGACAGAGGACAATAAACATGCTTCCCCGACAATAAGACTCAGCGAGGTATTTTGGTAATGCTAGCCGATGACGAAAGTCCGCGGTTTGGTAACGTTAGATGGTGACCTGCTCCTCCCTCATAGGAAGGAAACGTGCCATGTCTAGATATTCAATAATTTTAGGAGGCTATTCCCGGTTCTCATATATTAGATGCTGATACCTTGTATCCTTAGACTGACTTGAGAGAAGAGAGAAGGTGTTCGGTGGGCCTTATTGATTGTTGAATGTTATGCATTTTAGATGTCGACCTCACTCCCTAATAAGGATTCTTGTTAACCTAACGATATTGTCCAGACTTCTGGGCCCAATCTTCATTAAATTTCATAATCGCGCGATGAAGGACAGTGCAGTGATGTACACATGTACGATCACGTGATTGTATTTAGTAGTTTGGGTACTTTTTCCACTGTTCATTACTCACCTGCAGTGTTGTTTTGGGAGCAGTAGGGTTTCACCTGGAGATCGATCGAGTACTTATCTCCCTTGTACTTCTTTAGCTCCTTGAACACAAGTTTAAGGTCATTGTTACTAGAACACCACAACAATGGCGGGAATGTGTGGCAGTCGAACGTCTGCAACAAAAATGATGCTTCGTGTTATTGTAAGTACTGGCCCTTAGGAATGAAACTTACTTCATTAATGGTAGAGGTTCAACATGACGAGTTAGTTTTGACCTGCGCCGTGTGACCTTCAACTTCTACAGCTGGTTTTTCTCGTTGCAGAGACAAAATACATCAAATTAGATGTTAGTATATGTAGAACTTGAAACTGGTGATAAATACACTTTGTTCACACATTTCTACCACTCAGTTCCATACCTACAAAGTCAGGATCGGTGTTGATAACAGTTATCAACTATTTACTCTCATTAAACCGACATATTTGGTTTTGAATGGAGGACTTTTTCAAAACTCGGAGTTACTACAACACAGAACCAAAGACGCCTCTACATCTTCGTGTTCATTTTTGATTCGTATTTTGTACTTACTGAAGCGATCATGCTTTTTCAATGATCTAGATTTCAAAACGCGAGGGTGCATGTGATATCATGTAAGTTAATCATTCACATCGTATGTTGTTTTAGACAATTTCAAGCACGTGTTTAGTTCCAATCCGAAACATCAGGACGGAAATTGCTTCAGATAAATGTAGTTTCGGAAATAAGAGGTAGATCCGCCAATACTACCAGGCGGACTAAGACGTTCTATTGGAGTAGTATCATAATCTCGAACCTTTTCCCAATCTCATTTGATATTGCTCACTTTTATTGAATGGCGCACTGTAAATCAGAACCGGTAAGATATACACTCTCACGTTCAGCTTCAGGTGAGTCAAGTTCTCTATCACTAATGGTTTCATTCTTAGTTTGACGTAGGCCAAGCAGAAAGCTAAGACATTCAAAGTGTGACGTCAACCAAGCGAGAAGTCAAGACATTCAAAGTGAGACGTAGGCCAAGCGAGAAGCCAAGACATTCAAAGTGTGACGTCAACCAAGCGAGAAGTCAAGACATTCAAAGTGTGACGTCAACCAAGCGAGAAGTCAAGACATTCAAAGTTTGACGTCAACCAAGCGAGAAGTCAAGACATTCAAAGTGTGACGTCAACCAAGCGAAAAGTCAAGACATTCAAAGTGAGACGCCAGCATAGCGAGAAGTCAAGACATTCAAAGTGTGACGTCAACCAAGCGAGAAGCCAATACATTCAAAGTGAGACGTAGGCCAAGCGAGAAGTCAAGACATTCAAAGTGAGACGTAGGCCAAGCGAGAAGTCAAGACATTCAAAGTGTGACGTAGGCCAAGCGAGAAGTCAAGGCATTCAAAGTGTGACGTAGGCCAAGCGAGAAGTCAAGACATTCAAAGTGTGACGTAGGCCAAGCGAGAAGTCAAGGCATTCAAAGTGTGACGTAGGCCAAGCGAGAAGTCAAGACATTCAAAGTGTGACGCTGGCCAAGCGAGAAGCCAAGACATTCAGTGGAAGGAAAGCGAAAAAAGTCCAATCTCAGTTTGATCAGATCAATAGTCAAGTATACTCAGTCTTAGTTTGAAGTTTGCTAATGGAGTTAACAAGAAATATTTCGTTTAGTGTGACGTCGGCCAAATAACCAACCTTTGTTCTGGTGTCCTCAAAAAGTCACAGAAACCATTGCTAATTCGCCTTCTGTTTAATTACATCTGGTTTAGCTTTCTTAAGCAAACCGTAAATTCACCCACCTTGGGTTTGACGTCGGCCAGACCGTCATGGTAGATCATTTTGAAGTGGCAGCTGTGGATCGTGAACGTATTGATCTTTACACAAAGACTGCAACGCTGTTCCCGCATGGTGTCGCTCCACGTGGACTTGGTGAAAGTCACCTCGCACTTACTTCCGGTCACAGCTGTATTAGAGCTGACATTGTAAATACTGTCAAATTCGTAATAATGAGGCTGGTTACAAGACCGGGACGAGTTGGTATTCACTGTAACAAACGATTTAAATGTGTATATATTTAACAAAGGTAGGAAATACAAAAAGCGATAACAAATGATTGAAATACAAACATATGTTTTGTTCTCTTTATCATAATTACTCATCTATCATTGTTCCTTCGCGACTTTCTTCCTTACTCGTAAATATCTGATGATGATCTTCGCCATATAGTTATCAAATAACTTTAAATGTGGATGGAAGTCAGAACAGTCTTATAGATAGGCATTTAATCATGATAAACTAGAATCAATTTTAGTTACAAACAATAATACACTGGTAATGTGCGATACAACACACGACTTGGTTTAGCGACAGTGTGATGTCACATGGTTTATAATGAGAGTCACGTGACGTCAGAAATATACATTGTACAGGGTCTCCCTAATTAACTTCTATAATATGATAGTATAAGTTACCTCCCTTGTCATCGTCTATCACACATGGTAGGAATTACAGTGATAGTTTATAAGATAATTATGGTTAATTCAAAGCTATCCCACAGTACCTGTAGTAATTTGTAGTTAGATATACAGAGACACAATCGTGCCAGTAAAAATTCCAATGTTCATTTCCATGTAGATTTTCTAGAGGAGAAGAAAATCTAATGTAGTTTGTAGAACATGTAGTAAGCTTGGTATGAGTCAAGACCACACGGGCTTCCCTTTGCCTAATGGGCTGTGCCATTACTTTAAATACATAAGATTCACTGATCTGCATTATTTTCGTGATGCATTAAAACGTATTAAAATAGAACATTGATAAATACACGTGCGATACACTACGAGTGGTTGAGGTATACTGTCTTCTTTTTGCTCAGATAAGTTATCAAAAAAACTTCGGCTTGAATTTGTGACTTTAGGAAAATAACTGTCAAGAGTGAAGACTCAGCCATTATATAACAAAGAGAGTCTGAGTGATCTGTTTCTACTACAATAAGAAAGCCATTCCAAATTTCATTTCACCTGTTTTGTAGCCATGTGTGTTTGTTTACTTCAAAGAGAAAAACAATAAATCTAAATAAAAACCAAATTGTTACAAAAATAATCTTGGTATTAAATAGCACCCTTCTGTTGTGGTAGACGTTATAGGTGTCACAGACTATCCGGTTCCCGTCTTCTTTTAAACTCACAAACACCATAAAATTTGTGTATCCAATGTGATTGTTTATTTGCCGTATTATCAGCCAATCACTTAGAGACGAGGTATCTTGTAATAGGTGGTGACGACCTTTCTGAATAACATACGGAAGGTCAGTCGCGTGTCATCCAAAGCAATTAAGTCTAAGTGTTTTGCCTATTAAAATCTGCCACCTCCCGAATATATCATAGTCCCAAAAATGTCCTAATCCCAAAATGTCCTAGTCCCAAATATGTCATAGTCCCAAAAAATGTCATAGACCCAAATATGTCCTAATCCCAAAATGTCCTAGTCCCAAATATGTCCTAGTCCCAAATATGTCATAGTCCCAAAAAATGTCATAGTCCCAAATATGTCCTAATCCCAAAATGTCCTAGTCCCAAATATGTCCTAGTCCCAAAAATGTCATAGTCCCAAATATGTCATAGTCCCAAAAATGTCATTGTCCCAAAAATGTCATTGTCCCAAAATGTCCTGGTCCCAAAATGTCCTAGTCCCAAATATGTCATAGTCCCAAAAAATGTCATAGTCCCAAATATGTTTTACCATCTCAGCTACTACCAAGGGAGAATATAGAGAAAAATGGTGAATTTATCATCAGTAATAAAGGTAAAGAAAGTATGTAGCTGGGTAGGGAAGGCTTTTACAGGACAATCAGAGTCAGTAGAGAGCGATGTACGACCCGACCGAGGTCAGGACTTAATGTAAACCTAATCTCTGCCTCATTACTAGCGGAATTACAACTCGTGCACGTGTAGTTATGCCTGCGCGTTCGTTACATTGTACACACATATCGAGTAACAGAACTCGCCGTCATTAAATATCTTGATAGTTGTCGTAAAGTCAGTACATACACATTTGTTGTAGACCGTCTGTAACTGGAGGGATGCTCCAACAAAGAAGGGAGACAACTATCATCGGCCATTGCAGCAGCAATCCCTTGGTTGGTGTTGTCATATTCACTCATATATCTGAAATTAAAATAAAAGAAGATAGAAATAAGCAGCAATAGTGGTGAAACACTTATTGAACAACAACTTTTGATAGCGAGTTTAACGATCGACAACTCTTGATATTAAAGTAAGTGTAATGACTAACAATTCTCGGTAGTGTTGTGAATGTAACGAACGGCAGTTCTATGTAGTGTAGAAAGTGTAAGGAAAGACAACTGTGGTTAGTGATGTAAGGAAACATAACTGTGGTTAGTGATGTAAGGAACGACAACTGTGGTTAGTGATGTAAGGAAACATAACTGAGGTTAGTGATGTAAGGAACAACTGTGGTTAGTGATGTAAGGAAAGACAACTGTGGTTAGTGATGTAAGGAAAGACAACTGTGGTTAGTGTTGTTAGAAATGACAAACGTGGTTAGTGATGTAAGGAACGACAACTGTGGTCAGTGATGAAAGGAAAGACAACTGTGATTAGTGATGTTAGGAATGACAAGTGTGCTTACTGATATTAGATATGACAACAGTGGTTAGTGATGTAAGGAACGACAACTGTGGTTAGTGAGGTTAGGAACGACAACTGTGGTTAGTGATGTAAGGAAAGACAACTGTGGTTAGTGTTGTTAGAAATGACAAACGTGGTTAGTGATGTAAGGAACGACAACTGTGGTTAGTGATGTAGGGAACGACAACTGTGGTTAGTGAGGTTAGGAACGACAACTGTGGTTAGTGATGTAAGGAAAGACAACTGTGGTTAGTGTTGTTAGAAATGACAAACGTGGTTAGTGATGTAAGGAACGACAACTGTGGTTAGTGATGTAGGGAACGACAACTGTGGTTAGTGATGTAAGGAACGACAACTGTGGTTAGTGATGTAGGGAACGACAACTGTGCTTAGTGATGTAAGGAATGACAACTGTGGTTAGTGTTGTTAGAAATGACAAACGTGGTTAGTGATGTAAGGAACGACAGCTGTGGTTAGTGATGTAGGGAACGACAACTGTGGTTAGTGAGGTTAGGAACGACAACTTTGCTTAGTGATGTAAGGAATGACAACTGTGGTTAGTGATGTAAGGAACGACAACTGTGGTCAGTGATGAAAGGAAAGACAACTGTGATTAGTGATGTTAGGAATGACAAGTGTGCTTACTGATATTAGATATGACAACAGTGGTTAGTGATGTAAGGAACGACAACTGTGGTTAGTGAGGTTAGGAACGACAACTTTGCTTAGTGATGTAAGGAATGACAACTGTGGTTAGTGATGTAAGGAATAATTGTGGTTAGTGATGATAGGAACGACAACTGTGGTTAGTGATGTTAGGAATGACAACTGTGGTTAGTGATGTTAGGAAAGACAACTGTGGTTTGTGATGTAAGGAACGACAACCGTGGTTAGTGATGTAAAGAACGACAACTGTGGTTAGTGATGTTAGGAACGACAACTGTGGTTAGTGATGTAAGGAACGACAACTGTGGTTAGTGATGTTAGGAATGACAACTGTGGTTAGTGATGTTAGGAAAGACAACTATGGTTTGTGATGTAAGGAACGACAACCGTGGTTAGTGGTGTAAAGAACGACAACTGTGGTTAGTGATGTTAGGAACGACAACTGTGGTTAGTGATGTTAGGAACGACAACTGTGGTTAGTGATGTTAGGGAAGACAACTGTGGTTAGTGTTGTTAGGAATATGGAGATGGTTATGGTTACCATATAAAATCTTATTATGATGACTGGCCATGCAGGCCTTCCACATTTGTATCAATATTAAGCTTTATAACAATAAACATCTTGGTAGCCGTAGAAACTATATTGAACAGTGTCATTGCACCACTTCGACAGAGTTCATGGTCTGGGTGGCATTATTACTATTATAGTCGAATCAGAAACCACACACTTTTTCATATAAGCATTACATGAAATCCCCACAGTATTATACCGTATAACAAATTTGGTTTTATACTGGTAATCCTTACCTCTGCGATATCAGATTTCTGTGACGTCATTACATTGTGTTATGCTACGTCATAACACAATTAATTTACCTTTAGGAAACATCGAAACCTTTAACATGTAAATCAATTAACGATTATGATAACAATAAATGAACCAATTTCTACAATTCAATGGTGGAACCCTGGACAAATATCATTCTATTAGTTATTCTAACATATCACACAGCGTGAAGCTGTTTAGTTTAACTTTGAACAAATTAATCGGCATTAACTCGCGTGTAATTTCTTTTCCATGATCGTCATTAACAGGACAGTAAATTGAGACTGTTCTGAGAGACTGATTCACATGTACTTTTAAAGCTACCGTAAAATCGTATAATTTCATGGGATTGAAATTTTCTGTTTTCAAAAAACATACATTTTCCCTGACACTTGATTTCGTGGATAAATCTTGATAACAAAATCCGCTGGTATTATAATCCATGTCAGCGTTTCTTGAAAAGATAAATTCTTGGATTTAGAGTTCCAGCGAATTCAATGAAAATAAACCCCCCATGAAAATGAATGACTTTACAGTATACTTCGGGAATTTTAACTGTTAAAAAACATATCTTAAATAAAGTAAACGGTTCCATTTTTTATTCATCTTTTTTAAAAAATATTTTATGTGGTTCAATGAGATTGAGCAGAGTATACCAAGGTTTTCACTACAAGTCTGTTTTAACGATAACTGCAGACCTGTATTTTCTGCTACATAAGATATTTATGAGCTCGTTTGTCTGTTTCTGCCATTGGACATGGCACATAAAGTCATCAATGCTCGTTTACTATCACGTGATATATTACGTAACCCTCTCGTGTTTAGTCAAATTTCACCGCACTATTTTCTTACCTTGATGTATCATAGCCGGCAACATGACAGTATGACGTGTTCAATCCAGTGTCGTCTATACTCTGTCGGCTGTATGACGTTACTCTGTCATGGAGATCATCATACTTGCATCTGCCGTAATATAAGATGTACATGTTACTTAAACAAGCCACCCAACGCCTAATAATTAAGAGGCACCTTGGGCGAGGCTTCGTATGCATTCATAGAAGCTGACCTACGAGTAAACTTTTCGCTTTGTTACAAAAAAAGGATAAAAACGACTTAACAAGAAAGTTTAATTTGCAGGTAAAAAACGTACAGGTAAGAAAAGGTATTAGATTGGTGATGCCAATGACTGTTTGGTGTAGACACCAATATTTCAACTAGATACCTAGACTAATTAATGCTATTATTGTTTCATTAACTTTCCGTAAATTGTTTGAGTATACCAAATGGTGCATAATAAAGTCTGGACTGTCTTCCCTTTGATGTTTGTGTTCTGCACCTCTCAATCAAATTAGACCACATTTTAACATCGTTATCGGAACACTGGGTTACTTTACTGCACCCAGAAATTCTACTTTATCGGGTACACACTGAGCCAACTGATAATAGGTTAACGTTGAGATATACATGCACTACTCTACTGGACCTGCTTCGCGTAGAGGGTGTGTCTGACGTAGAATTAAACATCTATCTCACTGTGCTGATGGCAGATGAGTGCATGTGTACGTTAGTCGGTAGATTTAAACATACATGTGCACGCCGTCAATTTTAATACTGACTTAGAGTCTGACACACCGCACACACGCGAATGTAGGTAATTGATACCCGGGCAATTAAACCTCAGCACTTCACCTCCTTTATTGGGGCGCTCGTGCGACGGAGTTCGCTAGTGTTAACTGACGCCTTCTGTATCAATTAGGAGGGCTGTCATTAATGTAATCATATATCACTTAACATTAGGTCAAACGAGGGCAAGAATTGTTACAGATCACAGGGGGTTTATATAGATACCAGTGCCATATCATATTCGTTCCCTAGTATTGTGACACTAGGGCAAAAAGCATGTTCTTTTCATATTATAAAGACACTAGGGCAAATGTCATGTTCTTTCCGTATCATAATGACACTAGGGCAAAAAGCATGTTCTTTTCATATTATAATGACACTTGGGCAAAAACTCATGCTCTTCCATATGACAAATGCATAATGACTGCGGGGCGATATTATGTTCGTTCTATATTATAATGACACTAGGGCAAATATCATTTTCGTTCCGTATTATATTGACAAGAGGGCAACATCGTGTTAGTTCTGTATCATATTGACATCGGGAAAATCATGCTCGTTCCGTATTATACTGACACCGGGACAACACCATGTTCGTTCCGTATTATACTGACACCGGTACAACACCATGTTCATTCCGTACTAAACTGACACCGGGACAACACCATGTTCGTTCCGTATTATACTGACACCGGGACAACACCATGCTCGTTCCGTATTATACTGACACCGGGACAACACCATGCTCGTTCCGTATTATACTGACACTTGGACAACACCATGTTCGTTCCGTATTATACTGACACCGGAACAACACCATGTTCGTTCCGTATTATATACTGACACTGGAACAACACCATGTTTGTTCCGTATGACACTGACACCGGAACAACACCATGTTTGTTCCGTATTATATACTGACACTGGAACAACACCATATTCGTTCCGTATTATATACTGACACCGGGACAACACCATGCTCGTTCCGTATTATACTGACACCGGGACAACACCATGCTCGTTCCGTATTATACTGACACTGGGACAACACCATGTTCGTCCCGTATTATACTGACACCGGAACAACACCATGTTCGTTCCGTATTATATACTGACACTGGAACAACACCATGTTTGTTCCGTATTATACTGACACCGGAACAACACCATGTTTGTTCCGTATTATATACTGACACTGGAACAACACCATATTCGTTCCGTATTATATACTGACACCGGGACAACACCATGCTCGTTCCGTATTATACTGACACCGGGACAACACCATGCTCGTTCCGTATTATACTGACACTGGGACAACACCATGTTCGTTCCGTATTATACGGACACCGGAACAACACCATGTTCGTTCCGTATTATATACTGACACTGGAACAACACCATGTTTGTTCCGTATTATACTGACACCGGATCAACACCATGTTTGTTCCGTATTATATACTGACACTGGAACAACACAATGTTCGTTCCGTATTATATACTGACACCGGAACAACACCATATTCGTTCCGTATGACACTGACACCGGGACAACACCATGTTCGTTCCGTATTATACTGACACCGGAACAACACCATGTTCGTTCCGTATTATTTACTGACACCAGAACAACACCATGTTCGTTCCGTATTATACTGACACCGGGACAACACCATATTCGTTCCGTATTATACTGACACCGGAGCAACACCATGTTCGTTCCATATTATATACTGTCACCGAAACAACACCATGTTCGTTCCGTATTATACTGACACCGGATTATGATTGCAAGATTATATTCTTTCCGTATTATATTGGCGCCTAAGCAAGATAATCTAACAAAGTTGTGTAATGTTTAGACCTGTTTGTCGCCTGTTTCTTTACCCACAATGAAATAATATCATCAGGAAACAAAACCGACCACTACGATTGTTGTGACATGTGATCTGTTACTGCTGACAGGCGAGTAAGTATATCTCAACTGACGCTCACGTGTTTTACCGGCGTGCAAACATTATGTAAACATCATTGTTTGTAAAATAATTCCGAAGTAAAACAGATGTCGACATTCCTGTGTAATGGGCGAGTATCTAACCATCAATTGGAAACTGATCCCAGTTGTCTCACTTCCCAGGTTGGGGTTCAAAGACTGCAGGTAATTGGAGCACATTCTCAGTAATCTAGTTAGCCCGGAGATGATTAGTGTTTATATCGTCATTACTGTTACTCATTACGCTGGCCTCTGTTTGAATGTGTCTACCTGAACGAAGCTTTCCCTCCCCCTATCAACACAGGCCTCTTATCTAGCCTGTCGACCAGACATTTCCCCAACCTCTACCCCTACCCCTAAATGACCACCTTAAACAATCACCCCAACTTACCACCCAACTACAACATAACCCACTTCCCCAACAAACCAATTTTTACACATTACTCCATATCACTACCTAACCTGGGTTTCACCCCAAAATAATCTATATTGGCAACTGCATATCGCCGGTAACCTTATTTTGACTTGTCGTTAGGTTCACAGACGAATCAAAGGTGAGGCCAGAGATATCATGTGGATATGTCTGATATTACGAAGTTGAGACTAGAGATATCACGTGGATATGTCTGATATTACGAAGTTGAGACTAGAGATATCACGTGGATATGTCTGATATTACGAAGTTGAGGCCAGAGATACACGTGGATATGTCTGATATTACGAAGTTGAGGCCAGAGATATCACGTGGATATGTCTGATATTACGAAGTTGAGGCCAGAGATACACGTGGATATGTCTGATATTACGAAGTTGAGACCAGAGATATCACGTGTATATGTCTGATATTACGAAGTTGAGGCCAGAGATATCACTTGTATATGTCTGATATTACAAAGTTAAGGCCAGAGGTATCACTTGCGTATGTCTAATATTACGAAGTTGAGGCCAGATATAGCACGTGGATGTGTCTGATATTACGAAGTTGGGGCCAGATAAAGCACGTGGATATGTCTGATATTACGAAGTTGTGGCTAGAGATAGCACGTGGACATATCTGATATTACGAAGTTGAGGCCAGAGATATCACGTGTATATGTCTGATATGACGAAGTTGAGACCAGAGATATCACATGGATATGTCTGATATTACAAAGTTAAGGCCAGAGGTATCACTTGCGTATGTCTAATATTACGAAGTTGAGGCCAGATATAGCACGTGGATGTGTCTGATATTACGAAGTTGGGGCCAGATAAAGCACGTGGATATGTCTGATATTACGAAGTTGTGGCTAGAGATAGCACGTGGACATATCTGATATTACGAAGTTGAGGCCAGAGATATCACGTGTATATGTCTGATATGACGAAGTTGAGACCAGAGATATCACATGGATATGTCTGATATTACAAAGTTAAGGCCAGAGGTATCACTTGCGTATGTCTGATATTACGAAGTTGAGGCCAGATATAGGACGTGGATGTGTCTGATATTACGAAGTTGGGGCCAGATAAAGCACGTGGATATGTCTGATATTACGAAGTTGTGGCTAGAGATAGCACGTGTACGTATCTGATATTACGAAGTTGAGGCCAGAGATATCACTTGTATATGTCTGATATTACAAAGTTAAGGCCAGAGGTATCACTTGCGTATGTCTGATATTACGAAGTTGAGGCCAGATATAGGACGTGGATGTGTCTGATATTACGAAGTTGGAGCCAGATAAAGCACGTGTACGTATCTGATATTACGAAGTTGAGGCCAGAGATATCACGTGTATATGTCTGATATGACGAAGTTGAGGCCAGATATATCACTTGGGTATGTCTGATATTACTTAGTTCAATACGATGTTGAGATAAGCGTTAAAGAAGAATATAATTATTAATTGATAATTCTTTCCAAAAGCTTTGGCTCGGTGACCAGATTAATTTTTAGATCGCGGGATTTTGGTTTCATTTAAAACAATTCTCAGTCTCAGCCGTTTCCAATCTCATATAGAAATCTAATTGTAATTTATCCAATTCCTCCGTTCACTACTGGTAACAAGCCCAGAAACAACGAAGGACATCTCACGTACCCCGACATGGCGTTACAGAACTGTTACACAATGTGACGGCGACAACTGTATTAGCTGGACAAAAGATCAACATCTATGAATGTATCGACCATTGTGTGAATATACATTCGCAAGTAGATTTGTGTTGGTAACACAGCTGGTTCATGTCTACTGGGGCAAAGACTAAGACATGTCACCCTGACGTTCTGTATATCTGTTGGTTCATGTCTATTAGACACAGACTTCACATGTCACCCCGTTGTTCTGTATATCTGTTGGTTCATGTCTACTGGACACAGACTTCACATGTCACCCTGCTGTCCTGTGTATCTGTTGGTTCATGTCTACTGGACACAGACTTCACATGTCACCCTGTTGTTCTGTATATCTGTTGGTTCATGTCTATTAGACACAGACTTCACATGTCACCCTGCTGTCCTGTGTATCTGTTGGTTCATGTCTACTGGACACAGACTTCACATGTCACCCTGCTGTCCTGTGTATCTGTTGGTTCATGTCTACTGGACACAGACTTCACATGTCACCCTGCTGTCCTGTGTATCTGTTGGTTCATGTCTATTAGACACAGACTCCACATGTCACCCTGTTGTTCTGTATATCTGTCTGTTCATGTCTACTGGACACAGACTTCACATGTCACCCTGTTGTTCTATATATCTGTTGGTTCATGTCTATTAGACACAGACTTCACGTGTCACCCCGTTGTTCTGTATATCTGTTGGTTCATGTCTATAAGACACAGACTCCACATGTCACCCTGTTGTTCTGTATATTTGTTGGTTCATGTCTATTAGACACAGACTTCACATGTCACCCTGATGTTCTGTATATCTGTTGGTTCATGTCTATTAGACACAGACTTCACATGTCACCCTGTTGTTCTGTATATCTGTTGGTTCATGTCTATTAGACACAGACTTCACATGTCACCCCGTTGTTCTGTATATCTGTTGGTTCATGTCTATTAGACACAGACTTCACGTGTCACCCTGCTGTTCTGTATATCTGTTGGTTCATGTCTACTGGACACTGACTTCACATGTCACCCCGTTGTTCTGTATATCTGTTTGTTCATGTCTATTAGACACAGACTTCACATGTCACCCTGATGTTCTGTATATCTGTTGGTTCATGTCTACTGGACACTGACTTCACATGTCACCCCGTTGTTCTGTATATCTGTTGGTTCATGTCTATTAGACACAGACTTCACGTGTCACCCTGCTGTTCTGTATATCTGTTGGTTCATGTCTACTGGACACTGACTTCACATGTCACCCCGTTGTTCTGTATATCTGTTTGTTCATGTCTATTAGACACAGACTTCACATGTCACCCTGATGTTCTGTATATCTGTTGGTTCATGTCTATTAGACACAGACTTCACGTGTCACCCCGTTGTTCTGTATATCTGTTTGTTCATGTCTATTAGACACAGACTTCACATGTCACCCCGTTGTTCTGTATATCTGTTTGTTCATGTCTATTAGACACAGACTTCACATGTCACCCTGATGTTCTGTATATCTGTTTGTTCATGTCTATTAGACACAGACTTCACATGTCACCCCGTTGTTCTGTATATCTGTTTGTTCATGTCTATTAGACACAGACTTCACATGTCACCCTGATGTTCTGTATATCTGTTGGTTCATGTCTACTGGACACTGACTTCACATGTCACCCCGTTGTTCTGTATATCTGTTTGTTCATGTCTATTAGACACAGACTTCACATGTCACCCTGATGTTCTGTATATCTGTTGGTTCATGTCTATTAGACACAGACTTCACGTGTCACCCCGTTGTTCTGTATATCTGTTGGTTCATGTCTATTAGACACAGACTTCACATGTCACCCCGTTGTTCTGTATATCTGTTGGTTCATGTCTATTAGACACAGACTTCACGTGTCACCCCGTTGTTCTGTATATCTGTTGGTTCATGTCTATTAGACACAGACTTCACATGTCACCCTGTTGTTCTATATATCTGTTGGTTCATGTCTACTGGACACAGACTTCACATGTCACCCTGTTGTTCTGTATATCTGTTGGTTCATGTCTACTGGACACAGACTTCACAAGTCACCCTGTTGTTCTGTATATCTGTTGGTTCATGTCTACTGGATAAATACTTCACATGTCATCATGTTGATTTGTTTATCTCTATACATGTAACAGAGTGACACATACCGTCCTGTTGGTCACTATACATCTATATAAGGGCCCAGAGTGACACGTGTCGTCATGTTGGTCACTCTACATGTATATTCGGGCCCAGAGTGGCACATGTCGTCCTGTTGGTCACTCTACATGTATATAAGGGCACAGAGTGATACATGTCTATAAGGGCCCAGAGTGACACATGTCGTCCTGTTGGTCACTCTACATGTATATAAGGGTCCAGAGTGACACTTGTCGTGCTGTTGGTCGATATGCGTTTTGGTCTTTATCTGGTGGAAAAACACGTGTACATATCGCCGTTTCTAAGTAACAAATTTTATCGATGGTGATTTATATTGTGACATTATCATGGAGAGGATCAGATGAAACAATTAAGAAATTAATTAGTTCGCAACCAGATACACATCATGAACAATCAGTAGGTTCTTTGCAACTGTATATGGCAGTACACAAGCACGTGTACTCCTATTTATAGTCTCGCGTGAGTTTCCTGACTAATGATGTGCGATACATATCTATACACTACTCAAATTTATGAATTTTATCTACGCAATTGTGTCGTGTATTTTTATACTGTCAGTATATGGAGTGTAATAAATTCTAATATTAAGTTGTAATATAACTGTTTCAAAAGTTTTCTAGAGAACAGTACTAAATAGTATACTTACTTTGTTTTTAATGTACTGGTATTCCATTCACTACACACTGGAGAGTAGATACAAAATGTAGATGTTAAACTTCCCCATCCCACACACACTGTGTATGTAGCAAGGAGCCAGGGCAGGTTGATGTAGCACAATAAGACGGGTTCAGTATATACGTACAGGTGTAGTCTCGGGATGCCGGGCTACTGGACGCACCAACGAGCACGAAATTATAGCCGACATGCAAGATTTAAACAGCAGTTATATACATATGTTAAAATGTAGAATTTTTATAAATGACTTTGGGTACCCTGCTGTTAGATAAACTTCTGATGATTCGTGTGCCAATCCAGGAATTATCGAAATCACAGAGTAATTGGTCGGCCATTTTCTCTGTAAAATAAATCACGTTTGGCAGTTCTCATTCTATCGTCGCAGCCTGGTTGTTTTCCGGTTTCTTCTCCATTAGAGTATCATCCCAAACTCACACTCACCAACAACACATGCTGCCCTCTAGCGGCGGAAAACTTTCATCGCGTTTGGGGGGAATTCCTTCCCCTATCACCATGGTAACAGTGCTACGATTCTAAGTGGAGGCCTACTGGCAATTAAAGGCACTCGGCGCTTCCTATTGAAAATGTCGGGTTGCACGACCCCTGCTTTCTTTACTAATTGGTGCGTAGGGGTCGACTGTGCCGTGGGGTATCTATGCGATCCCGCGGGAGTCCGGAGTGATGGCACTTGACATATCAGCGCCAGTACTTCGTCCGGTGGAGACGAGCATGACTAGAAATCGTGTACTCTTACGTCACGTAATTGGTGTCTGAGACTGACAAAGATTAATTATCGCTTAATAGTTATCGGCTCTTACTAAGATAATATCTCATTCCGTGTTGTCGGTTATCATATTTCCCCACTCCCCTCCTCCCCTCTTCCAAAAAGAAAAAAGAAAAGAAAAAACCCGAAGCTACATACTTCAGTGTCACGACTATGTACACTGTTGCATTTTATTTTGTGAAGGCTGCGTTTGGAGAACCACATAACTTTTTATATCACATGTAGAAATGAACTTTGACGAGTCATTTCTATGTACGAAGAGATGCCAGTCTGCTGTTAATCAACGTGATCGGAGAAGAGGTATCGTTTTGTTTGTTTGTTTGTTTACATTGTTTTGACTGAGATCGTTGATGAAGTTAGAAGAATCCCTTGGCGGTACTGGGCATTACTGCCAGTCATCTCCCGCAATTAGTGTCAGTCGGGATGTGGCGAGTGTTGATGACTTACGCATACAGACACTTACGAGAGGCGCGAATGAGGACAGGTGCACGTGTGCAACCAAATGGTTAAGCAAATACCATATTGTTAAAACAATTTAAGAAAGTTAATAGGATTAATCTACAACTGAAACACAATACGTCAACTTAAAACGGCTGTAATAATCGATCCCCGCCTTCATATAACAAGGGAGGTTTGCCACTAGAAAAAACAAACATCCTCCTGCCTCCAATATATTGTTTCTCTGCTATCATTTTGATCTCTATCATATCTTAATATTCTATAAACCTCAGTGATATAGCGAGAGGGGGCACAAGGACGTACGGGACTCCGAGAACCGGTACTGTCCTGGACACACTTGTTCAAACCTATAGAAAACACGTTTATTTGTGTTAAAACACAGTGATATCTGAAGTACAACAGTCCTGTGACACGGGTAAAGATTTGCTTTAGAGCATCACTTAACGGCGTGTATTTGTAGTGCGACATCAATCTCCAAATGTGCAAAAACAGTAAGGAAAATAACAGCTACATACTCCCATGTTTTTTTTGTGTCTGGAAGATCATTGAACTTGGCTATCAATTTTGAACCCATGCAAAACCTTATCAATTTTTAAATCCTTGAAAAACGCTATCAGTTTGGAATCCTTGAAAAGTGCTATCATATCGCCTACAAGTATGCTTTTTTGAAACCTTAACAAGCTTCGTTTGTCAAGGATGAAATAAAGTCACATGTATGTAGCGCTGATTAGTACTTACATCTAAGTGTATCGAAAACACAACACTGGCAGATTGGTATACAATACTTTACTTTGATGTGGTGAAAAAACAAGTGTATGTACAGAGTATTCACAGTATTATTTAGGACTCTGAAATTTGATGTTAAACTATATAAACATTTCTGAATGATGGTACTGTAAACATTGTAATCCGACGGTTAATAGATGTTTGGTACCTAATTTCTTGTGTAGTATATTACATCTTACCATTACAAACATGACACAGACATTACACTCTATGCGATCTCCTGATGTAAACATGACACAGACATTACCCTCTATACGATCTCCTGATGTAAACATGACACAGACACGTGATAAATACATCCTACACGATCTCCTGATGTAAACATGACACAGACACGTGATAAATACATCCCTCTATACGATCTCCTGATGTAAACATGACACAGACACGTGATAAATACATCCTACACGATCTCCTCATGTAAATATGACACAGACATTACCCTCTATACGATCTCCTGATGTAAACATGACACAGACACGATCTCCTGATGTAAACATGACACAGACACGTGATAAATACATCCTACACGATCTCCTGATGTAAATATGACACAGACACGTGATAAATACATCCTACACGATCTCCTCATGTAAATATGACACAGACATTACCCTCTATACGATCTCCTGATGTACACATGACACAGACACGTGATAAATACATCCTACACGATCTCCTCATGTAAACATGACACAGACACGTGATAAATACATCCTACACGATCTCCTCATGTAAACATGACACAGACACGTGATAAATACATCCTACACGATCTCCTCATGTAAATATGACACAGACACGTGATAAATACATCCTACACGATCTCCTGATGTAAACATGACACAGACACGTGATAAATACATCCTACACGATCTCCTGATATAAACATGACACAGACACGTGATAAATATATCCTACACGATCTCCTCATGTAAACATGACACAGACACGTGATAAATACATCCTACACGATCTCCTCATGTAAACATGACACAGACACGTGATAAATACATCCTACACGATCTCCTCATGTAAACATGACACAGACACGTGATAAATACATCCTACACGATCTCCTCATGTAAACATGACACAGACACGTGATAAATACATCCTACACGATCTCCTGATATAAACATGACACAGACACGTGATAAATATATCCTACACGATCTCCTCATGTAAACATGACACAGACACGTGATAAATACATCCTACACGATCTCCTCATGTAAACATGACACAGACACGTGATAAATACATCCTACACGATCTCCTGATGTAAACATGACACAGACACGTGATAAATACATCCTACACGATCTCCTGATGTAAACATGACACAGACACGTGATAAATACATCCTACACGATCTCCTCATGTAAACATGACACAGACACGTGATAAATACATCCTACACGATCTCCTCATGTAAACATGACACAGACATTACACTCTATAGGATCTCCTGATGTAAACATGACTATTTTTAGTGATAGTAACATGAGTTCTGTCTTCTGATACCAGAGTCTAGATTAACAATATATATGTAGGTAGGTACTCAGGTATATATATAATCGAAACATTAACATGGCAAATAAAATCGTATGAAATCGTTAACGTTTTCCGGCCTTGTGGCCATCTTCAGACGTTTGAATTACGTTACATATTACCCGATATTGTAACGCCTGAAGAGATATACTCAGGTATATATATATATATCTGTAAGCACTCAGGTATATATATCTGTAGGTACTCAGGTATATATATATATATATATATCTGTAGGTACTCAGGTATATATATATATATATATCTGTAGGTACCCAGGTATTACTATATATCTGTAGGTACCCAGGTATTACTATATATCTGTAAGTACTCATGTATATATATAGGTACTCAGGTATACTTACGTATCTACCTTCCTTACACACAAATGTATCACGTTCTGGCTTTGGTAGATGTCCAGCTATTGCCTTACAATTGATGTGTTACAAGAGGAACATTGATACACTCTTGAAATGGAATTACACTAAAAAAAATAATAAAAAAGCTAAACAAAATATTTAAATTAATGTGTTTTTTGAGGGAATAGGTAGTTCCACTATTTACTGGTTTATTAAATTAAACATAAAAATATCTCTCAGCAGCACGGTCTAATTAGAAACGATTAAATGGATAAATATGGCACCATGAATTCATTTATTAAACATTTGTATTGAATGTTTGTCATTGTGTCATTATGAATTGTTGACAAACAATATATGGCCTCAGTTTCTACCACAATTTTGTTTAATAAAGAGATATTCATTATGAGTATCACAAAATCAAAATTGTCACGTGTTGATGACCGCGCGTCATGCAAACGTATTATCTAGATAAAACACCTGAACATATATCATATAGTGGTCTCATAGGACATATAGGAGGCATGAGACAAAGTTCTGGACAGATATGTCCGTCTTGTGTCCACGGACGGATCGGCCGACACCTCGCTTGGAGTCGCACTGCTGTGGGCCTGAAACACACAGGGTAGTTTTATATCGGAAAATATCACCACACGTGATAAGAACTACATAATAACATCATATAATCCTTACCTCTATTTATGATTAATATCTCTATATATCATTATATCTATATATATGATTATATCTCTATATATATATCATTAATCTCCATAATATAATCTCCCTTTATATATATATAATTATATCTCTTGATCTCTATATATATATATGTATCTAATTATTGTTGTTCTCTAGTGACGATATATACCTGTAGTTAGACGAAGTACCTACATTGTTGTTCTCGTAGTTCTACATTGTTGTTCTCTAATGACGACTATCTACATTGTTGTTCTCTAGTGACGAGTACCTACATTGTTCTATAGTGACGAGTACCTATATTGTTGTAATCTAGTGACGAGTATCTACATTGTTGTTCTCTAGTGACGAGTATCTACATTGTTATTTCTAGTGACGAGTACCTACATTGTTGTTTTCTAGTGACGAGTATCTACATTGTTGTTCTCTAGTGACGAGTATCTACATTGTTGTTCTCTAGTGACGAGTACCTACATTGTTGTTCTCTAGTGACGAGTACCTACATTGTTGTTCTCTAGTGACGAGTATCTACATTGTTGTTCTCTAGTGACGAGTATCTACATTGTTGTTCTCTAGTGACGAGTACCTACATTGTTGTTCTCTAGTGACGAGTATCTACATTGTTGTTTTCTAGTGACGAGTATCTACATTGTTGTTCTCTAGTGACGAGTATCTACATTGTTGTTCTCTAGTGACGAGTATCTACATTGTTGTTCTCTAGTGACGAGTATCTACATTGTTGTTCTCTAGTGACGAGTATCTACATTGCTATTCTCTAGTGACGAGTATCTACATTGTTGTTCTCTAGTGACGAGTATCTACATTGTTATTTCTAGTGACGAGTACCTACATTGTTGTTTTCTAGTGACGAGTTCTAGTGACTACATTGTT